TGAGCCTGTATAACTAATCACACAATTTTCAATTCCAAAGTTTTCCCTGATCGAACACTGAACACTGGGAAACTTTCCCTGCAGCCTGTCTCACCTGTTTTAGAAGGTAGGCTGTTGATGCTGGAGCTTAGTATTTGTTTCTTGTAATTCGTAGTGAATTTAAGACTGAGCAGTTTTCTGTAAGAGGGGCAAAATGCTCTGTGCAAATGTGCAAGCAATTCCTTATGTGTTTATTCAGTAAGTAAATACTCACTCTGTTGCGTCCGAGAGTCTATCATGGCAGATGGTTCGTAGGCTACTGGGCGGGGCGCTCTTGACCGAGGGGCTGGGGTGTCTAGCGGTGACCCTTTAGGTGATACAGAAGTTCTGTTGACTGTTGTTTTACTGAAAGCTCTCCTTGGTTGGTCAGATCCAGGTGAAGGGAACTTTCTTTGCTGTGGAGGAGTACGGTGAGGTGACCTGGCAGGTGATCTGGTCTGGGTTGTATCTCTGGTAAGCGATATTAATTTTGCCTGACAGGAATTAAGATCAAATAAATCTGATGAGTATTGCTCTGTGCAGTATTTTGGTTTTTATTGGTCAATTTGTTATAATTACATGTGTCTGTACAAATGTGTAAACATCTCATTCATCCATCCTATTACTAAGAAGTGAGTTATTACCTGCATCTGTAGTTGGTGTTCCTGTAACCGTTCCAGGTGTTCTATCCTCTGATCTGTAAGTTGAGATACCTGTTTCTCAAGGGCCATAACTCTTTCAGATTCTTGGACTACTGTTTCAGCTTCAGATGCCATTTGCTTGGCAGAGCCACTGTTTTGTATTAATGCCATTTTTTCCAAAATCTCTGCCATTTTGGATTCCAAATCCTGTTGAGCCTATAAAAGAACAGATTTGAACAAAATTGTTCAGAAAACAAGTATTCTGGAATACTTTTATCTGATTTAAATGTAGATCACACAAAGTCTTGTTAAATTCTTATAATATATCCAATAATATTTTAATGTAGATAAAATATACAAATAACATATATACACACAAACTATTGCTTCAGCTTTACGTTTGCTTAATATCAGCATTCCTGTCAACATCCAAAAGTATTCCCTCAAATACTACTTTTGGACCACAGAGCTGAAGACATACTGAAGTTATGATAAAGTTTTTATATCAAGGAAGGGCTGTATTGCTGATAAAATGATATGGAGGAAGTAAACATGATTATCTTTACCTTAAGGAAGGGTTGTGTAGCTGCCACAGCTGCACTGGCTGCCACAGCAACAGTGATGGCCTCACTTGTCTGTCCTGTCACCTTTGGCCCTTCTCCTTTGACCTCTGACCCTTTCCTGTCTGCACCAACTATTTTCGGTTGAACAACCCTCTTCACAGGTCCAGCCTGTTCATACCTATGAAGTGGTAGTGGTACCAAGAGCATATTTTTATCAAAGTTTGTTTACAACCAAATACCCCAGCCATATTCTAACAGTATTATACAATGTATAATTATAAAGGATTGCTTATCAAATTCCCTTTTCTATATGTTTGATCATGTAATCTTTTAGCATGGTTATTTTAAGTACCTTTTTGCAAATGTCTGTCTGATTAGTTTTTGTTTCTCTGACATTTTGAAGTTTGAGATCTTAACTTCAGGTGACTCCTTCCGTTTGTCGAGCCCACTGGCTCCCTCTACAGGAGCTCCTTGTCGTAGAACTCCACCATTCATCTGTGAAACAATATCGTTACCTGGTATATCATGAGATTATATACAGCATATTGGCTATATTCATATTTAATGTAAATGGAGTAAGATGTTTAATCGTTAACATTACTGTTATCTCAATTTGTGTTTACAGCTAGAAATGATCATTGCAAGATTAAAAAAACAAATCTTGTAGAATTAAATGTCACAATGTATAGAAACACAGTAAATATCTAATATGAAAACCTTGAAGCCTAGTTGATATCTATCAGCCAACATTGGTGGAACTCTCTCTTCATCCTGCTCCAGTGTCCCTGTATCATTAATGGAGGCATCAGTAGACAGTGAAGTACGAGCAGACACTGTGACAATTCTCTCTGGTACTGTAAATATCTCTGGTTGACTGCTCTCCCTGCTACTTCTGCTCACATCTGGGTCTATGACACTGGGGTCAACTATTGAAACATTTTATTGAATCATTAAGACATCTGCAATATACATACCCTTGTATGTTGCAATTATCAGCTGGCAATGTGAGACATTTCACTCACACATTGGAAACTTAATGAAAACTTAACACAGTTAGTACAAGATGTGAAACTGATTTCAGACACAGAATGCACTAACCCTGATATGTGTATACATGTATAAAATTTAGTGCACAAATTTAACTGACAGAAGAGAAATCCTTGTAATCAAGAATTCTAAACCATATTATGATCTTATTTAGCTTTACAAATTGTGCACATTCACTTTATTATACATATGACCCCATCCATGAATTGTCAGCTCTGTGATTTAAGATATGGTAGTTCTACACAAAGCCATTACCAACATCCTATCTATGTATGCATCAAATGATCTGTCACATTTATTCGGTTTTGGAATGCATAAAAAAATATGTATCTTTAAGTTGAATTTAGCATGTACAGTTTTCATATATGTGTATACCAACAGACTTTAACCATGGCAGAATGTGTTATAATGTCATAATTGTATCCATGGTGACAATGAGAGATCATCTGTAGAATTACTTGTTTGACTAATGGTTTGCAGGTCAAGGTAAATAGACAAATAACTGGGTATACTTTATAAAAACATATGCTTTTACAGAAATTTATGTACAGTATTAATCTACAGCAAGATATATCAGAAATAAAAGCGAAACGACTGAATTGTCTTAATACACCATCAAAAGGATGGAAACAATTGCTCTGTATGATTTTCTACAAAGCTGTCATTCAAATCAATTATCTACCACATGCACTTTATGATTAAAAACCATACCTTCTTTACCAGGTAGAAGATCAACACTACCACTAAGGTCTAATGTTGGATCTTTGCCATGGTCACTCTGGGATTCTAATTCCTCAAAACCTTTCTTTCTGTCTGGCTTGATCATCTTCTTTGGTGTATGTCTCTCAACAAACACTTCTGCAGCCTTTTGTTTACTGACTTTATACGGATCACGAGGACTTGATGGAGTGACATGTGTTTTGATTCCTTTCCTCCTCATTAATTCTTTTCCTTCGTCTCGAGGAGAAAACTCTTCAAAGGTTTCAGATCTTTGAGTTTGCAACGGTGAAAAGAAGTGATCATCTTCTTTGTTGTCCCTTTTTATACCATCGCTAAGACCTCTGGGTGCAGATTGTGCTTTAATTTTGCTTGTTTTTGAAACCACTGGTTTAGCAATAGCATTTTTACTTAGATTTTTGTCATCAGAATTGGTATCTGATTGAGGTACATCCACTGATCTTTCTACTGCTTTAGTAGCTCCTTTTAGAACACTTTCTCTGTCTTCACCATTTCTTGGACTTACTTCAAAAGGGGACTTTATTTCTCTCAGTCTCTTGGTTGAAATTTTCACTTTTTGAGCTCCTGAAGTATTGAAATTTTCTGATGCGATAGATATTTTTGAGCATTTTGAAACATTGCTAACATTTCCCTCATCCTGTAACACAAAACTTCTGTGGTCAGGATCAACAGTGGTAGATGTTATCAAAACATCACTTGCTGTAGTGCTCTCATCTGACTCATGAACAAGATGACCTGAACTTGGTTCCCCATTTCTCTCTGTCACAGTATTAGTTTTGCAAATACCACTATCATGACTTATTGAGTCATGATATTGAGCCTCTCTGACTGATCTACATGAAGATCTACTACTGGCAGAGGAAGACCTTGTAGATTTGTTCAGACCCTTGACTGCTGCATCTGTTAGGGCAAGCAACTCTAGCATACTAGACTGTGCCATAGTAAAGCTAAAAAAGAAAAGAAATAGAAGGAAAAAATGTGTAAAAATCTTCTATAAGTCTAAAACAATGTATGGGGCATACAGAATATGCAGTATGTTTTGAAAAGCTGACAAAATACATGACATTACTCTGGATGTAGAATGTTAACACATACGTATGTTTATACTACGTTTCGTAGTTTAGTGGATGTACTATGTAATTATTAAGCCATGGACACTGAAATAATTATAATTGACTATGAATGTTTATGTATGATATGGACATAGAGGCTCTAAGCCTGTGTCCATTATTAATCCTATTAAAAAAGACTTCTGACATGCTTTGACACAGTCCCACACTACAGACTGATGAGCGAGTTTAAAGTGGATGGGATCAGTGGAGACATTCTATTACTTGTTACTTTTATTATTGACTGAACGTGTACAGAAGTAGAATAATCAATGAAGGGGTGTCATTTTCTTTCAGTACCAAGATGTTCAGTACAGTGCCGATATCATCCAAATATGTGTATAAGACTATCACACGTCAGTGTATGACTTTATATGAAAATGTTAAGTTTCTGAGTTGTTTTGGACTAGGCCCACATCGAATTAATCTAACATACCCGAACAGCGTATAGACTGCAGGGGAAACATTATATATTTTTATCATATTAGCTTGTCTCATTCGCATAACCAAAAGAACAGACCAATTTATGCGCCATTTACCTCTTGTTCTAACTCACAAGTTGCATAATAATACGGTAGCGAGGCCGAATCGAGTTTAACACACATTCTTTCCCTGTTCATTCCAAACTCCCGCCGCCATTTTTGTCAACAATGTCATCACCAAACATATAGTTGTAAGAAGCAATATGATTGGTCAATTTCTTCGATGCTTTAATGTTGTAATACTTTATTTTTTTTATTGGACTGAAATATTCCATATCACTTTGGAATAAAAACACACTGTACCTTTTTCATTACCTCTTTCATAAGCATTAAATTTAATTATAGTCTCCTTAACAAAAAAGATTGCGACAGTCGAAGTTTTGGTTTAAACCTATTTCCGGCGGTGAATGTGTCCGTGCATGACTTTTCATACCCACGTGTGTATATGTTTGTCACTCTTTGCATGAAAATATGATATGTTATAGTCCAGTTTTAGAAAGCATTGACATTTCTTGAATAACTTAATTATACGATGTAATCAAGCATACCACTTAAAGGCTGCCGTTGTTACGTTGTAGTCATTTGTTTCCTAACATTACCCGCAGATCTGTTGAAGTTGGGCCTAATTAATGAGCATTGGACACCGGCGTTATTAGAGACACGAGTAATACTATTTCAGTATTTTGTGTACATATTTTCTTCCATATGCATTGTCCCATACTATTCCAAAACTCCAACAATCACTAGAAGCATCTTTCGAAATCGTTTTGAAAATCTTAATCCAACGTTGTTTCACAATGCTCAGTAAAGCTGTATAGTGTTCTGTACCACAGACATCTGTATCTGGAATGTAAACAGCACAAATATTCTGCCCACTATGCCTTTGTATGATGCAAAGTGGACTGGATTTTTGCTTGTGTTGTTTACATTCCAGATATAGGTGCATGTCTTCATTAAACAAGATGAGTACCGTAGTACATGTGTGTAAAAGTCCGATGTCTTTTGTCACTTTCACCTTGAAATCCAAAATTTATTTTTAAGTATAGAGCAATAGATAGAGCATCCCTCCACCTCTTGGTTGCAGTTTAAAAAATAAAAACAGTAGAACATGGCTTAGTCAGAGGAAATATATATCATATATATATATATGGTGTTATGAAAAACCTGTTGGCATGATTTCTTAATATTTTCATGTTTTTATTTCAGATAAATAAAACAGCACTATGGCTGCTGCAGAACCCAACATGATGCAAATGCAAGACAAATCTATGGTAGGAAGTGATTTCAATATACTTAGATATCAAGCAAGTGATGACTTTATACATATAATTTAAGTATATACTGTATATGTACATGTATTGGGAGATTATCAATAAGTCACTAAGTTTACACATACTGAGGAATTAACTAAGGTCAGTCACATTTCTGGTGTATCAATGAAATTTAGCATTGGGTACTCCTCACTACAAAATTACATTAGTCATCAGAGTAACTGTAAGGTACAATACTAAAAAATTTTAAGTTTCACCACAGAAAGGTTACAAATAAGCTGCAAGCAATGTATAAGTTACCATATGTACAGTTTGCCACTTAAATTTTATTCAGAGTTTATCTTTTCTTACGCGATTCTTTGTATCAAGGTTTTGAAAGTTCATTTGATTAATTGCTTACCATTTTGTAAGTTCATCCATGTTCATTCCTGATCCATTTGTTGAGGTTTCATCAACATAAAAAATAAATTCTGTAAAATCAGGTTTTCCTTGAGCTGAAATTTTGTGGTTTTACAGAAAATGCATTTTTGTTGGCTCTTGATTGCATGGATTGATCTTCTTAGAAATTAACTAGCACTTTGTAATCCATGATAGTTTTCAATTTTTTATCATTTCTTGGATATAATAATGTTGTAGGTTAAGAGTACCCATAATTATGGCAAAGTTAAAAACCCCAACGAAAAATCAATATTTTTATAGTGTACTTCATTATCAAAAGTTCTTAAAGCATGAAGTTCAGTTGTTTTCACAATTCAGTTTTTAATCCACATTCCAGAGGGTGTGGGGTATTGCGATCACGCATGGCCTCTGTTCGTCCGTCTGTCTGTCCACAATTGCATACCGCTTATTATCTCAAAAAACTACATAGCCGGTCATCACCATTTTCATTGGGGATGTTGGGCCTATGGACCTACACAACCCTACTGTTTTTCGTCACCGCGCGATCTCCTATATGGCAGTTACGGGCGCCATCTTGAATTTGCATTCCGCTCATTATCTCAGGAACGACAACACTGGTGGTCACCATTTTTACTGAGGACGTTGGACCTATTGACCTATACAACCCTATTTGTTTTTTCGTTGCCGCCTGATATCCAATATGGCGGCTACGGCTGCCATCTTGAATTTGAATTCCACTCATTATCTCAAGAAGGACATCATCGGTGACCACCATTTTCACGGAGGATGTTGGGCCTATGGATCTACACAACCCTATTGTTTTTCGTCATTGCCCCATACCCAATATGGCGGTTACAGTTGCCATCTTGTATTTGCATTCCAGTCATTATCTTAAGAACGCCATCTCCAGCGATCACCATTTTCGCTGGGCATGTTGAGCCTATGGACCTACACAGCCTGTTGAGGTTCTTCACAATCTCAGCCCTGCACCCAACTTTATAATAAGGCTGTGGGTATTGCACGCATTTGCAGAGCTATTTTTATGTCCTTATTTCATATATGTGAACAAATCTTCCACTTATCTGACCCTAATGCCCTACGTTAATGTATTTGAGATATGGAAATCAAACATACAGTTGATATAGAGCTCAAACTACATGAACTCAAGCTGGGATGTAATGCTTAATCATTGATTAACATTACACATGATTTTACATTTTCCTGAAGGAGATATATTTAGAAGAATCAGAAAAAGCACACAAATTGATTTTATATCCAAGTCGCAAAGTTCTCAAAGCATGCCCAAATTTATATAATCTATTATAGATAATAAGAATAATTCAATGTTTACAAAAAATTCCCTTTCAGTGGAGAGCCGTTCTTTTATCCTATAACAAATTAGCCGAGGACTGCTTCGTAGATTGTGTGCATGACTTCACCTCAAAGAAACCAATCAAGGCAGAGGTAATGAACGACATCACATTTTTTTTAATTGATTTGACATTGAGATTAATTAATGAATTAATTAAATGTGTGTTGTTAGACTTGTTCTATGATTTGATCAACTTTCAAAAATTGAAAAAAGTGTGAATGTGAAACTCCAAACCTGTGTCTGTCTGACAAATTCATTGAAAATCACAGCTATTCTCATTATGAAGTCATCATCCCCCTTGTGATGACTATTGGGGAGGGGATATAGGGATGTTCCAGTATGTCCCAGGCATCATACCTTGAGGGATTTTGACTTCACATTTCTTTATTGCACCTAAATAAAGGTTTAACTGAGAGAGGATATGTATTTTTTGAATTGCTTTGTTTTCACTTTTGTAAACCATTCAACAAACTTTTTTTTTCTTATGATAGTTTTACAATTGAGATTATGCACATGACAAATAAAGAAAAACTATTTATATTATCACTAACATGACAGAATTTTTAGCCTATCATTAATTTGTTTGCCAATTTTTTATTGGAGAACAATTAAAGTTAGATTTTATTAAAAACTGTACCAAAAAAAAAAATGAAAAGATTTTCTTTGTATAATTGTTTCCTGTATCATCATCCCTGATGACAGGTTGTCCTTTATTTTTATCTGAAGGACATTTGTATTTAATATCATAATCTCTCTAATTCCCAAATAGTGTCTTTACAGATAAAACCCATTTCTTGTGTGGATTTAAAAAAAACTTTACAAATGAAAAGTCAGAAAATATAGAAACACTGCTAACATAGTGTATTTCAATTCTAATTAGTGTAAATGATATTGCCTAAATTCAAGTTATGTTTGTTTTTCAGTTGTCATGCACTAACAATTGCTTACAAAAGCACACCAGGGTGACTCAGCGTATTGCCCAACGAATAAGTGAATTCCAGTTGACTAAAATTGAAGGCATAGCAGCTTTAACAGCCCCAAGGTGACAGAAAGTTTACTGAGTTAGACTGAAACAAAAGTATTGTTGAAGGAAATGATCCAGTTTTTCACTGACAGATTTGAGTAGAGGTTCATTACACATGTTCTAGGACTGCCTGATTCTGTGAAATCCTTCAGGCTTTAGCAGTGAAACGGATCAACCTTATGTGTATGGAAATGTTTACATATTTAATGATACATATATTTTGTTTTTAGCCCACCATCATCAGATTGTGAGTTAAAAACAATGTTGATGCTGAGATCTGTTAGGATCTCTTGTTTGTGTGTTTTTTTTTAGACAAATAAGTTACCAGTACACAATACAGGACAGTGTCAATATCAGGATATCTTTTTTGTACCATCAAAGAAGTTTTTAGATTTCATTTTGCAACATTTTTACAATACACAAATCAACATAGTTGTGTTAGTTTGCTGTAATTAATTATTAGAAAAAGAATCAGTGATTTATAGGTAACTATTGACTCCAGCAGAAATTTATGTTTGATAGTTTAATGTTCCAGAGCTATTTAAATATTGTCAATAAAATGTTTCTTTGTTGTTGAAAGGAAAGTCAGACTCATTGTTGTCCTAATGTACACCTTAACTCCTATATATACAACTTATCAACTGAAAGGGTTGACCATATCCTAGATATAGTTGGTACGCCTATTATCAACTGAAATGGTTGACCATATCCCAAATATAGTTGATACGCCCATTATCAACTGAATGGGTTGACCATATCCAGATGTAATTGATACGCGCATTATCAGCTGAAAGGGTTGACCACATCCCAGATATAGTTGATACGCCCATTATCAGCTGAAAGGGTTGACCACATCCCAGATATAGTTGATACGCCCATTATCAACTGAAATGGTTGACCATATCCCAAATATAGTTCATATGCCCATAGAAAGTTATCTGTATGCTAGGTCTTCCTTCTTATTCTCCTTGTATTTTTTCAGGAGTCTCTGTAAATCTTTCTTTTGTTCTTATTTTGCCCTAGTTTTATGGAATTTGAGATTGAATTAGGATTATGTTGCCATGTTGGTATTATCTACATGTTTTTTGTACATGTAGTTCTGATTGAACAGACATTTTGGAAGTCAGGTCACAGTGGAAACTAATTTAAATTTAAACGAGAGGTAGAAATGTTCTGTTTGTAGAACAAGTATTGATACATAAGTATGGATTTGCTTTGATTAAGTAATTTAATTATGTATTTCCATGACATCAACTTTTCCCTTTAAACTACTTCTCAATACCTGGAAAGCCACCCAGGATACTGTATATATTGGCATGTAGTATACTACAATGAAGTGCTGCAAGTTTGTTAAAATTAATTGCTTGGTCCATTTTTCGGTGAAATAATATTGGGCCTGTAGCCAATATGTTAATATTTGTGACAGTGACTTTCACTGTCTTTATAATTCAGTTACTTTTTCTCAAAACTAAAAATCACTGGGTCATGATAATGTGCCAGTAGAATGCTGGGATGAAGCTCTACAAACTTAGTTGAAATAAATGACATTGACAAAATTTGAAGGTCACATGGGTCAAATGTGCTAAGAGCTTTAAGTTTCTTTAAAAATATAATCCTTGGTCATAGTGTTTGTATTGTGGCATGCTTTAATTGGGTAACGGAATTTACTGACTTAAGGAAGGGACAATCTTCATCCTGCATGAAAGCTTCAGAACATGTGAGTGATTAAGGCCCATTGAGCCTCTGTTATACTATTTAATAATCAGATTTGTGCAAATTTTGTTTCAAATAAAAAACAAATGATGATATTTATATTGTCTTAACATGTGATAAATGCATTTGTAGTACATACCGGTACTCCACAAAACCCCTTGAAAACAAATTGGCACAGTATCATCAGGATCAAAACGTGACAAAGATTGATTCAATATTTTTCCTGAATAGTCACAAAATTAATGGTAATGAGTTGTATCTGACAGTGAGAAGGTCAGGATGATCAGCTATAAGTAAATACCAGACATTATCGGACTGTAAATCTGAAAAACATTTTTAGGAATATCATTGAAAATCAATCCTAGATAAGTCTATACATATCTTCTATTTCACAAACGACACTTTGTAAACAAATAAAATCCAGACCATGCCATTTCCTTAATTGTATACGTAGGAGTATCTTTGGACGATCTGTCATCATAAAAAGGCACATGCACATTACAGGTACTCGATTTCATTACAAATGTATATTCAATAAACCTTAAGCTTGCACTACCCAACTCGCAGGGTAGTGCAATGTGACCATATTCATTGAAAACACCTAATGATCGGCTTTTCAAATTGCCTTTCATCCATGGTCTGTTGGTAAACAATCATTGTTATCACCATTTCTTGAGAAGTACCCGAGGAATATTTTTCGAACTATATATGTAGGTCTAGATTTCCCTCTGTCCCCAGATGTGCCCTTTCAATTTTGAGTGTGATCAGAGAAACAAAATGGCCAACTGGTGGCCATCTTGCATTTTGACAGTTGAATTTATATTGCTCTTTCTACTGTAGTGTTGAAGGTTTCCCATGATCCCAAGTTGTGCCCACTTAATTTAGAGGCTGATCAGCGAAACAAAATAACAAACATGTAGTAATTTGGGATTTTGAAAGCTTTATAGTTGTTATCGCAATTTCTTGAGAAGCACTGAATGGATATTTCTGACAGATTCATTTTAGCCCCAAGTTATGTAGATTCAATTTTAAGCCTGATCAAGACATGAAATTCTCGCAGAGAAGACAATCTTTTATTTTGACCATCGAAGTTTGATATGGTCATTTCTTTCATTTCAAGTATTTGTCACCTCAGTTTCTAGTAGTGCTAGTTCAAGTTTGAGTCCAAGCGTGATGTATTATCATCCATCATCTTCAACGTTATTTCTGTCTCTGGTGAACCCCGTTTATCTGCCCTCAAAAGAATCGTCATCAATCATTGAGGAGTGGGAATTATAATGTTGATTTTAGTATTGTCTGCCCAGTGGCTTTCCATCTTTTAATTACACAGTCAAGTGACCAAAAGACTCAACCAAAATTTTATTGTACCGTAATTCTCTTAGCAGTACTGGAGAAGACAGCTTTCTTTTGTTGAATTGATATAATAGTTCAAAGGAAAAGCTGATGGTAGGATGTACAGACTGCTGTGCTAGGGATACTTCAAAAAACTGAAGAGAATATGTATACTGAAACAGGTAATTTGATGTGAAATATTTCAACACCCTTTTCTCAGTCTTACAGAAAGAACATTCTGTTAGTTTACATAAATGACACAAATTGGCCGGTTTTAGAAAAGGAACTTCACGAAACTATTCTACACCTTTCCATCATTTATAAATCACATGACAACATCAATTTTGTTCATAGCATTTTAATTATAAACAAACATTTTACATCAAACAACAAAATGAAAATACTGCACACATTCTTCAGTTTACAATACCTTTCATATATCAACATTCTCTTTCACATCCACAACTAAGAAAAATGGAACTCATATGCACTTTATAGGCTGATTTGTTTTGCTTCTTGATGCCAAGCTTCATCAGGGCAACTTTAATATAGACCCCGATTCTATTCCTAAGAAATAAAAATTGGGATCTCTTTTTATAATAAATAATTAAGAATCTTTTGATTATCTTTCTCCATCGAAATTGATATCAATGGTAAGTGATTTTCCAGTCAGATATAAAATTACAACTTTTTAAGAGTTGTTAATGACACAAATCATGGTCAAGATGAAAATTTTCCTGGTACTATACATGAATTAATAATGTATCCAACAGCACTTGTTTCTCAACTGTATGGAAGGCAGACCTATATACCTATTTTAGATCAATGATTAAGACCGTTATGAAACCATATGTTAATTGATATATTTCTCAAAATAACATTTACATGTTCAAGTATTGGTCAAATTTAAATTTCATGATCTTTCAGCCGAATAAAAAGTCAAGGCCATAGTTTTCAGTCAACGAGAACAAATCTTGTCCTAGAATTCCATCACCACTTTCAGGGGTTAAATCCACTCAACTTGGCCACTTCATACTCACTCACTTTCTGAGTGATACGGTGAGATACTTCATAATACTTCTTTAAACAGTTTGTTGTACACAGTGTCTGAAAGGTCAAAGAGATTTTAAATGATACATTGTACTGGTATGTTTGGCATTGAAAAACACACTGTACTTGATAAATACTGGCCAAACTGGTGTGAAAAATACAATCAGCTGATGAGTTATTTAGACAAAGTGCTGTACGTACTGTATGATGCCTGTCAGGTTTAAGCACACTTACCAAATATGTGGTTTCAAATTCATTAATAACAGAGGTAGAAAAAGTATTCAGTAGGACAGAAGTTGTGACAGAATTGAAATGTCAGCATGACAATAAATATGATGTTTACCTCAGATTTAGTTACTTTCTTTGTGGTGAAATTGTGGATACAATCCACAAAGCAATGCTCTGTCAGTTTGTTATATGTGTCAAAAAAAGCTCTCCACTGAAAAAGAATGATGTTCCAAACTTCAGTAGGAAATTGATTGCTTGGTACAATTCATGAATTTAATCAACTAAAATAATAGGAAGTGCGTTATTATTAACAGGATTATAATTTTCAAATATACTTTCAAAGAAAACCATAGTGGGGATAATGATAAAAGTAGAGAGTATATTTAGGCACTTCTTCAACAGAAATTTCCTAGAATTAGTTCAAACATATTTCATTGACATACAGATTGACAATTTGATAAGTCAGTTAAGTTAACTTACACGTATGAACAACTTCTCTTTATAGCATACATATAGTATAACGTTATGTACATTATTTAAGTAACTCGGTATATATGGATCAGAGACGTATGTATAACACATGCACTATATGCATCTCTGCATGGATGTACATATACTACATAGTAATAGATACTAGCATACAAAAGGAATTAACTTTCATCATATGTCTATATATTTGTTTTAATATGATTGCTATATTTTACAACAAACACAGACTCACTTATACTTTTCCTTTCTGATAAATATTAAATATTTTCCCAAAATAAAGAATAACTCGTTATCTGGTGTATGCACAAGTCTATAAACTGTACATGTAATAATAATGTTACTTTATGTTTCCAACTAATATTAATGTAACATCATTTTCACAATAATATTTGTTTTTTTTATTGTTCCCAATTCGTGCAGGGATATGCTGTTGTACGTGTGAAGTTATATAGAAATTTCGCAATCTCCTACCATATCTTCTTGTTGCTTTAAGCTGGGCTGTACTCCTGTTGCTGCCATGGTGCCAATTGAAACCTGGAGCGCTTTAAGTATATAATCAGCTGAAACAAGAAAAAATAGTGTTTTTCTTAATCAAATGAGCTCAAAAGAACTTATGGAGGATAAAATGTCCACACGACACATATAGGCTAATTAGTAAAACCAAAAATACGTGTAAATCAACATGGTAGCAGTTACATATACATTGTCGAGACCAGAGATATACTTGTAAATAGATTTCAGTACAAGAAGGAAATTCTCGATCAGAGCTGAATTTGGACCCAGGGTCCTCCTAGTTCAATGTATCCGTGATTTTATTTTGTCTTGTTAGTTGTGGAACCCTTCGGACTAAGTTCCTTCCAAGTGCAACCTGATGTAAATGCATACATTTTCCTTTCCTGAAATACCTGTACGGTCTTTACTATTGTAAACACATCCACGTGTGTGAAAGGGGACCTTCACACGACAGCCGACATTTCCGATTAATGTAAGGAACGATAACTCTGATAAAGAAATGACTTCCGGTGTGTGATTTAGCGTGTTGGTCAGTTGTTGGTATGTAACAATCGAAGCCATTAAGTTTGGATAACAATCTAATCTTGATCTTTTGAAGGCGTTCAGAGCTCAGTCATGAAATTAGCCCTGCTACCTAATATTTCGGAATTGTGTTAGAGCCGAATGTGGCCACTGTTTCATCACTAGCTGCTTTGTACATCAAACATTACTCAACGTGATGTCTATTATAGAGTGACAAAATCTCACCTCCTGAACCCACCTACTACATTTAAAATGATATTGGTTTAAAAAAAACACCACAGCCCCCACCCCCGGTTTCAAGAAAGGCACGCAAGTACTACCAATTTGTAGATATAATCTCAAAATGTAAGCAGATTAATAAACATTAGTTAATACCGCTACGTTTTTCCCACAATGTAGCATCTAATTCCAAGACTTCTTAAAAAACGATCACCCATCGAACACCTGTAAGCTTTGTGAAAAAAATGCAGGAGAGTATATACCGCTTTGTCCAATCGCCTGTCCTTTCGCTTCCAGTCTAATTTTTCTTCACAGTTAATTAAACAAGGGTCATACAACTCGGTGTATACAAAGGTCATATTAAGATGTACTGTACCAAATTCAGATCGGCCGTAAAAACTCCTTACACAATTGTTGCCCTTCGTTGAAATCGTATGGATAATAAAGTTGTCTTCTGTATTATTCATCAGTTTTATTGATCGTCTAATTTTTTAAGCAGTATTTCTTCAATATGTATTTAAGTTTTAATTGATCCTTTTGTTCTTTCCAAACAGACGATAATTATACTGATTTACAAAATAATTCTGTAGATACAATCGGAATGAAATACATATATAGAATATGTTTTACCTTTAATATTACTCTCTCTCTCTCTATTACTTGAAGTAATTACGAAAATACAATAAAATTTTCAAGGCAATCTAGATCTACCGCTTTATCAAGAGTTTACTGTTATCAATTATAGTTTATTATTTTGTCTTTGTTTTATGTTTTGTATATGTGATGTAAATATGTTATATTTTGTGTCTTTAAACTGCTGTATCATGTCCATTGGGCATAATGTTGTTATGACTTCATTGATTTTATATCTATTCCAGTAAATATTTGTTTGTTAGGATCAAGTGTCAATAATGGACCATACTGTTCATTTACCTTACTCTGTTCTATATAATCAAGGGAGAAACATACATTTAATTTAGTCTTCATGTTGCAGGTAAGGAGCCAAGCCTGATGTTAACACATGGCTGCTGTAGAGGCAAATGTATTACAAAAGGACAATGTAAGAATCAATTAAGTTCCTGTCTTTTAATTGTGGTCTTATGTTGTTGTACACATTATGTGTACCCATTTCACTGATAAATGTTATATCAGCAATGGCAAATGAAATGACAAGAAGCTGGTTTTTATATTTTTTTTAAATTCTTTGTGTTTATAGTTACATACATGGTTTTTACAAAGGTACCACCAGCAGTTACTCAAGTACATTGCTCTCTACAATATTTGTGTAATAATTTACATAAAACCTGTTTCTTTCCAGTGGAAATCCTTCCTATCAACCTACAACAAAGTGACAGAGCATTGCTTCCTGGACTGTGTCCATGACTTCAAAACACGGAAAGTCTCCCCATTAGAGGTAATAGACTGAGCAGTATTTACAGTAATTAATTGTTAAAACTTACTGAAGTCCTATAGGAATTCTGATTGAATGAACATTACAAACAGGCAGCCAGTCAGAGTTATATGATTATCTACTTCTGTAAACTAACATGGAAATTTTAAACCTACAGTTGATAAAAGGGGACACCTCAAGTCTTATCTTAACCAGAAGAAATATATTGATCTTATTCCAAAGTGATTAATAAGAGATGTGAATATTCATTACTACCATATTAATATGCAATAAGCTCAGGGTGCAACAGCTTACTTCTCACTCAAAATCAAGTGGTTTGCTTATTACAAGACAAATAATATTGGTTTACAGTTTGTCATATTTTATTGAATATCAATACATAAAGGTGGGTTATTAGGGTTTATTGTCAGGTAAATACAGGTAGTTTGGATTAAATTTGTTGTTTGTTGTTACTTAAAGTCTGCATAAATGTGTATGTCTCTTCTTTTAATATCTTTTTATTTGCGTCTCTATCTTTTCAGACATCTTGCGCATCCAACTGTTTACAGATGTATATGAAGGTGTCTCAGCGTGTTGATCAAAGAACCATGGAATTTCAGACAAAATATACAAATGATGCAGAGAACACAAAAAGCTGATGAAATATTTACATCAATCAATATGATCTCATTAAACAATGCCATAACGGCGGAGAAAATGAAATCTGACTACCAATGCCATTAAAACACAAATAATGGTATCTTTCTACATCAAAAGGGAGCACAGGAACCAGTTTCCCCATGTTTACAAGACTTTGTAAATCAAATATTTTGTGATATATTTGATTTGATATTGCTTCATATGTTTCGATGGAATGGATGTTGTGTTAAACTATCATATTCCAGTAAAATTGAAATGTATTTTTAAATAAACTATGAATATAACTCTTTTAATCTTCTAATTTTATTATAAAGATACATATATAGAATAGGCATGGTTTGGATTTCAATACAGGCCAAGTGCGTCATTTGACCTATAACCGTGAATGATGATGGCCAATATATCACAGTGTAGATCTTGATGGTGATATTATCCTGTGAATATGGTATTAATCTGTTTAGAGATATTACGTATACATAACAGAAGTGGTTAAGAGTGACCATTCACCTTGACCAATAACCAAAATCTAATAAGTTGTAGAACTTGATGGTGTGATAGTTTGGTGGTGAGTAGAAATGAAATCCATCAACGTGTTTATGAGGTGTTTAGCACACAAACCTTTCATTCCACAAATGGTCAAGAGTGTTGCTTTACCTTGACTGATAACCATCAAAATCTAAAAAGTTGTTAGAAGTTGATGGTGCAACACTTTGGTAGGGTAGTAACAAAATTTGTCAGAGGGTTCATTACCTTGTACATCAGCTTTTTTTAAGTATTACATAGTCACTGAGTATGCCAAAATGTAAATGAAACTAGTGGGTCAATATTCCTATAATATAAGGTAACAAATTCTTGTGTTCAAAAGTTTCAAAATTCCTCAATGGATATATTATATCAAGTACTGGAGAATGTGTTATGAAATAAAATTGATGTGCTACAACTGTATTGAATTATTCAATCAGTATTAGAAATCTGTGAAAATCTTATCACCCCGACTTAAAAAAAGTGAATAGTGAACAAGTCTTATTAAAGTATGGTTTTAAAAAGCAAAAATATCCAAGAAAAGACATAAGTACTTTTTAACAGAATTTAATAACTTAAAATCTCTCAGCAGATCTTGATGCCACTGTCCGCATTGTTCCATACACTTTAGATGGGGGACTTCCTGTAAAGACAAAGATAGCAATGTGAACTACAAAATGGCAGTGTATTGAAGTAATGAATAAGTAACATTATCATTATCAAGAAAATATTTCCCATTGTGTACCTGAATATCAGTCTGTATGTTATTATACTATTATATGCAGATATATATCTTTTAATTTACTTCATGTGAAACACATTTACACACAGTACATATATACTGCCCTAAAATTATCAACCCTACCTGGAGATCCCACCAGAAACCCTTCTAGAAATCCCTTCATCTTCCTGACCTAGAGATTCCACCATCAACTACTAGAAACTCCACTATCAACCCTTCTAGAAAAACCCCACCATCAACATTACCTGGAGATATCACCACCAACTCTACCAGAAAACCCCACAATCAACATTACCTGGAGATATCACCATCAACCCTACATAATTCCTATAAACCTAGTGATCCCCCAATTCCTCTAAACCTGGAAGTCCCACCATCATCCCTACCTAGATGATCACACTATCATCCCTGCCTACATGATCCCACCATCATCCCTGCCTACATGATCCCACCATCATCCCTGCCTACATGATCCCACCATCATCCCTGCCTACATGATCCCACCATCATCCCTACCTAGATGATCCCACCATCATCCCTACCTACATGATCCCACCATCATCCCTACCTACATGATCCCACTCTCATCCCTACCTACATGATCCCACCATCATCCCTACCTACATGATCCCACCATCATCCCTACCTAGATGATCCCACCATCATCTCTACCTACATGATCCCACCATCATCCCTACCTAGATGATCACACCATCATCCCTAACTACATGATCCCACCATCATCCCTACCTACATGATCACACCATCATCCCTAACTACATGATCCCACCATCATCCCTACCTAGATGATCACACCATCATCCCTAACTACATGATCCCACCATTATCCCTACCTAGATGATCCCACCATCATCCCTACCTACATGATCCCACCATCATCCCTACCTAGATGATCACACTATCATCCCTACCTACATGATCCCACCATCATCCCTACCTACATGATCCCACCATCATCCCTACCTAGATGATCCCACCATCATCCCTACCTACATGATCCCACCATCATCCCTACCTACATAATTATAATTGACACAGACACACCATATTTGCACACCAATGCCCACCTCTACCTGGAAATCCACCACCCGAAAAAACTTCTTCCTGATATCATCATCCTACCTTCCTTAGAGATCAAAATAAATCTGAATAGATATAAATTGTATGATACATGATTCTATGTTTACACTATTCTTACCTAATATCAAACTGCATATGGCTGTTCTGGCAATTTTAATATTCTGGAAGGATCCTAATATGTGTATATGACTGAAATGAAAACAACACACCATGTAATTCTTTTTGACAAATACTATATTATTATATTTTTTGAACAATTAGGATTTATTGTCAATGTCAAGAAAAAGTCCCTATTTCAAAGGGCGGGCAATATACTTAGTAGTTAACACAGCATTGTTAAGTATTTATTGGCTGATTTTTCTGATCTTGGTGATTTCATACTCACTTATTTGCTAAAACAATTCTCGTCTTTGTGACATTTTCTATGGTGAACTTTGTCTTTCCATTCTTGCCGGCCAATCTGCCTATGGCTCGAGCCAGGTGGTCTCCTTTCAGTGGCTTTACTGATAAAAAGTGAAAATCATACAGTGTAATGCACTGAAATGAACACTACACGATTCACTTTCAACATCAGAGGAAGGAATCTCTTAATTCTTGCATCAGGTATCAATATATAGGTTCTACCAGTAAAATGAGATTAAAAGTCTACAAAAACAAAATGTTTTTCTTGATATCCAACATCAATCATTGTGATAATAAAGACAAGTTCGCTGATGACACCCTAACCACTATCCAGGATGCTGTTTGCAAAGACGGAAAAAACCCTCAAACCAAACAAACTCTCCACTATGCAAAAAATGTCATACAGAGTGAGGCAACAAATATTCCTCCTGCACTTAACATGTGCATTCCTATGTTTACTTGGTAAAATAAATCTGTCTTCCTCGAGGGGAAAGAGAGCTCTCACATGTTTTGACAGAGAAAAAGTAATCCATCACCACTGTGTAATGTAGACATGTTTTCTCAACCATCAGAATATTGTAAATTTTCAGCAAAGCCATGACATATGCTTACCTAGAATATTACCTTTGCATTCTATAACTCAGTATTCCACTACTTACCATCCTGAACTTGAAACGACTCTAGGTAGAGATCATCCAATCTAACAAGTGCTAGAGCATCCTGGAAGATAAAAGAAATCACTAATAGTACATAAATATTTATGTCGTCTTGTCAGAAACATTACATCATATAATAAACAACTACAAACTTCTTTGTCAGAAACATTACAAATGTTTTAAGCCAAGAATGTTTTAAAAATAGCTTAGATTTAAATTAACTTTCCATAATATCAAATGCAGCTCTTCATTAATTAATCTTATTGAAAAAATACCTCTGTACTTTACATTCAAGGTGTAGTTTGTGAGGTAGTACACAATGTATCATTTTACATGGCTAAAATTTGTACATATTGAACTACAATAGCTGGAGTTTCCTCTGGCTCCTACACTTTACATTTTAACAAGTAGGTCACAGACATCTGATGTACAATAGTGTAGGAACCAAAGGATATGTATATATGTATTACTGGGCCAGATCATAAACAGCTGCTTTGTCAGCCTGATACTCACATCTACTTCATAACCTAGACAAAATGCTCGGACAAAGTCAGCAGCTTTCTGTAGAGCGCCTATATCCTTTGTATCTTTACATGACTGTAATTAACCACATCATAACAAATCATTACGTACATGTTAATGTATGATCAATATAGTACATGTAATATATTTAGTGAAATGTACATACAAATGGTATGACTTGAGTCCAGTGTAATCTTATTTTCATTTTGAATAAACAACAAATATCACAGAAATAATTCAATAAAAGGTATATGATTAAACATTTTGTAAATTTCAGAAAATGCATTTCATATAATATTTCAAAATAGTCCCAATAGTATTTTTCCAGTAATAAGCCCAGGGACCTACACATAATCTCTGTCAAAAATCATATTGTAAGGTATCCTTGACAAGGATCTAGCATTTGTTGGTAAGTTATATAAAGAAATTGCTTTAGATAAGGGTTGGTTTGTTACAAGATCTATATGAGCTTATTGCTGAATAAATACAGAAAAAAGCATTTACTGTAAAAGTATACAACATTACAGTTAACAGGTAACATGAATCACATGTTCTCATGTAGTACTATATTGTACTGACAATAATCCCCATTTACAACCTTGAAACATCTTATAATCAATAATTACCTTGATTTCTACATTTCTGCTTTTCAGATTAAACCTGATCTGCAGATGTAAGTGCTCCACTATTGGTGTGAATATTTTCATCCAGTTTTCTTTTAGTGGTGTATAACGATTGTTTGGAACAGGTATTTTTCTGATGTCAGTTTTTCCTCCCTAAAGAATAAAAATGTAAAGTTATATAAAAAGAGTTAATCCAATACTGTCCTGTCATGGTGGATTTATTATAGTAAATGTAACATTTTATAGATTAAATTCTATTGTCAAAAAAAAAAGATAAGTTCTGACAGATTTATATGGATTATTATGAACTTAAATTATTGACTGTAATAAAAATGTTACCACACATGTACTCAGCCAATGCAAGCTGATGTACATTTTGTATGTGTAACAGTATTCCCCTTAATTGATCATTAAAACTATCATTATTTTAAACAAGGGCCAGGATAGATTAGTTGGATAGAGCCTCAGGTGTAGATTTGAGGTGTCTGGTTCAAAGCTCCCTACCCGTGTCCGTTTGTGTTTCTAAGGAAGGTGAAGAGACTGATTTGTTATTTATCAATTGAAGATTTTGCAGACACTTTAAAATGTTCTTCAGTGTTTTCGAATCACTGATCATAAAAATCTTAACCATGATAACATTTGATTTATGCTAAGCTGAAGAATTACTGGCTACTTCAAGTAGAATGTTGCTGAACAAATAAAATTAATTAAACAGATGAATATAACACATCAATGATACTCTAGTTTAATGTCCAAAGCCTCAATATCAATCTGGCATTATTACAATTAGTACTCACTTATATATTGGTGCTTATGTATCTAGAAGTTGAAATAAGTTCATAAAGTACTTGATAAACTTGACCAGACCTTGTTAAACTGAATGTTTGATACTGGCTCATTTGATGTGCGTGTATATATATAAGTACTAGCTTGCCTAAGTAAACTCTGAATCCTACATTACACATACCATACATCCATTTGACATTCTGACAGATAGATGTACTTGTACAATGCATGTATATTTTTATTTGACGTGAGCGGAAATTCACGCTAATCAAAGTCTGACTTTATCCTCGACCAGTGTATTTTTCTATAGCCTTAGTATTCACATCGTGGTAGGCTTATTTACTGCACTGACACTAAATTCATAAAACCCAAGACTTACAGGATATATAAATAACATGTACACATAGTACTTATGTATACGGATCAGCGGAACTTACTGTCAGTTTATCACCACTAATGGGTGGGAAATGTGGTCGCTTAGGTGGAGATTCTGTCGTGTCCATCGTCTGTGGTTGTGATTCAGAAGATTCTTCTTGTAGTTTTCGCTTATTTGGCCTTCGTTTGATTTGTTTAAAGTCTCCATCTTCACTTGATTTAACTGTTTGAAGTGAAGAGGCACTCTCTGTTGATGCTGCCATTTTCACGTGGTGGTGTAAGAGGAAGTACAGTGAGCGCATGCGTAGTGAAACTAGAAAAAACATCAACATGGACCAGAGGGGCTGGAGGTGGACAGATGCACATTTTTGCAGTTTACCATCACAAGCAGCATTGTATGGCATAACAGCCACTCCACAAACAAACGTATATACACACGCCAAAGTAATAGAACCAGAGGGATCGAACAAATTACTGGTAGCATCACTGAGAGGAAAGATAGTATCCGTGGAGTACCAAAGGAATGGGAACAAACTCAAACCATCCACAAAGGAGGTTCAGTTTACGTATATTCCAGGTATGGTTGTACCAATATCTATAGGTAAAAATGAAAGCAAACCTGGATGGATTAGAAAGAGATTTATGTACTGATAGATAATGTTGTAGGACACATCCCAATAGAAAATAACGTGTATATATTCCTATTGTATTTGTTGACACACAGTGTTACTTAGGTATCTAAAGTATATAATTTTCCCTCCAGATTGACAGATTTTTTTAAAGAATTAAACAAATACTTAGAAGACACCTAAGAACAAGCCAAATATTGATATGAACATTGGAAATACATATTGTAGGTAACAACTGGTGTATACAGTTACTTTATATTCTAAATCTTTGTGAATGTATCAGTTCTAATTCTCTTAAATTAGGCGATGCAGAATTAGTTTCCCTTGATGTTGCTGCCAGAACAAGTCAACAAGGCAATGGACTTCTCATTGGTATCACATTCCTCAAACAGACCCAGGTAATATTGAAAGTACCTTGAACTTAACAATGATCAATGTATAGTTTAATTTCATGAGCCCTTTTCAACAAAATACTGAAACAATGAAATCTTTAAGCATATCCAGCAATTCTATGAGTCCTATTAAAATTCTATGACTACAGGACTCCATACTCACATGAAGATTTATCAGTGTTTGGTAGGCAGTACATTTTTTACATCATATACATATAATTGACAATTTCAAGCAGTTTGAAGTAAGACATTTGTTATCTACTTGCAATTACAATAAAGTTTCCTGTTTTGTTTTGATATTAAGATGCATGCTGTCAACACCATTAACATTTTCTATTTTTACTTCAAAATGATAATATTTAAATGAGTGTAAAGATAAATTTTGCTTTTTCATATTCTGTGTCATAAAGTTTTTGGCACTGCAGCATGAATTGTCTATGTCTGAATTTTGGCCAAGAGGGATCTCTGATTACTGAAGTGATTTATCTATTTGTGAACTTAGCAATAGCTGGGCAAGCAATAACGGGGCATAATTGATTACAATTGAATTTGTTTATTGTTTAATGTAGTATATACTAGGCACACATCATAAATCATATGTTTAGATAGTTTCAAATCAGTCTATGAAGATCTGTAGGAAATTTATGACATGTGCATCAACAGCATGCATGAAAAAAAGTTGGTTACTGTACACATTTAAGACCATTAAAACATAGATGAACTTTACAGTACCAGTAATATCTAATACAAATATGTGTCAATGTCTGTGATGATTTGGTTGTTTCTGTTTAGACTGAAGATGGAGAACACACCTGTATGCAGTACCTAAACCTGTATTCCTTTTGTCAGTCAGATGAAGATAGCCACTACGTAGATAGTGTAGCCCGTAGGTGTGATTATTTGACAACAGTAATTACAGTCAAAAGTGTGATTATATGTCAACAATAATTACAGTCACAAAGTGTGATTATATGTCAACAGTAATTACAGTCAGAAGTGTGATTATATGTCAACAGTAATTACAGTCAAAAGTGTGATTATATAACAACAGTAATTACAGTCAAAATGAAAGGCATAGTTCAGCTCCAGACTTCATTTGCTAAGCTCATTATCAATTGCTCACGATGTTTGTCTTAGAGTTCTCAGTGATAGATTTTAATTTTCAATCATGGAAAATCAAGTAACTATACAAGGCTGGCTTTGAATAGCAGTGATTCACACTGTTGATCTGGAGTTTTACCTTTACATTTGCTTGGAGTTATTAAGTCATTAAAATAGTTTGAATAAGAAACAAATTTAACTAATCATATTTTAGGTGGAAAAATAATGTATAAGTCTGTTCACATGCTATTATACTATAGTTACTGAGAATTATATGATATCAGCATTTGTACATGTATGTCTTTGTAATGCTCTCTGGAGCTGTCAGTATCTTACTGTTTACTTTCATTATCATTTTGTTGACCTTAAGCATATCAGTATGTACTTTAAAACACATACCGATTTATAATGTAATGATTTTTTTATCGTTCTTCAGAGACGTGTGTAACATTAGAATTGGATTTCATGCCATACCAGCTGATCCATACAGAGTAAGAATGTCTAATTGTCAAAACACTTTGTCTAATTTACATAGAATAAGAATATCATGCAATTTCTGTTTACTTTTTAACTTTTGTTAAGTCAAAGGCAAACAATATACCAAGGCGTCCATTTGATAGAAGAAAAATAATAACAAGCTTAAAAATCATAGTCTTATTTATTGTTATACATCTCTCTGTACTAAAGGTGTGTAACAGAAGATGGTTTGGAGACGGTATTTCTTCTCAGTGGAAATGACCAGAAAGTCCACATGTACAGAGAAGATCATGTATGTAAATTATGTCTTCACAACCTTTTTGTTCCAAATAATTGCATCAAAAATTGAATTTTCAGACCACTATTTACAAAAGTATATATCAGCCTATCAAACAACAATGATATTAGCTAAAATTTACAAAAACAACGGCCGTCGATGATAGGTTATTCACCCCAAATGGTACAAAATTAAAGAAGGAAAAATACCAAAGGGCAATTATTCCTAAATAATGCAAAGAGAGTTATGGTTCATGAACATTGCACTTCTCCTTATCAAGATCTATCTATGAAGCTCTGATACCTGCATATCTATTGATACCTGCAACAGTTGTTGTGCTATGCTCTTGGTAAAACATTTAAGTATGAAAAATAACGAAGGACAATAACTTAAATTATGCAGGAGAGAGTTATGGTTCTTCTACACTGTGCTTTTCCTCATCAAGATCTATCAACCTATTAAGTTTCATGTTGATACCTCTAACAGCTTTTGTGATATGCTATGGACAAAATTATGATGGACAGACAGATGGACAAAGCAGCAACTCTTCAGGAAGCATAAAAAAGTTTTGATATGTAAGGTTTATGTTATGATAGTACATTTGAATAGTTAACATATACTTGAATCATGACAGATGGGTGCTGATACTCATCAACATTATGACATTCTGACAAAAACAAATTGAAAGTGTGAATAAATAGTGCTTCAATTTCACATACATCAGTTTTCAAGTACAGTGTGTAGGCGTAGGCAGTATACACAAGTATAGTTTACTACAGGTTTTGAAGATTAGAACATTGGTTTAAATATTCTGATATATTTTAACACATTTACATGGTTTTTTGTGTAAAAAGGTAGCCCCAGTGTTGAGATTTAAAGAGGAAGAAATAGAGAATTACTTTCCAGAGCTGTGTTGTCCAGGCAGCAGGTGAGAAACAACTGCTTATGTTAGAAATATCAATAAACTGCCCTCAAATGATATCAAATACATTTTAATCACTTACTGGATGGATGGCAAGTGAAGGAATTTACTAACATACACTGTGAGTTGCCAATGAAGTATATGCACTGTTACTAAGATAGTCAGTATGTTATAAGTTGGCATCAAAGAAGATTGATAGTTATGCAAGGGCAAAAGATGTGGTGACATTAAATTGCTAGGTTCTTGTTTGGTATCAGCTGTATGTTAACTACACAGGTGATACATATTCACTTTTCTAGTTTCATTTTTTGTTTTGATTTCTTTGTAGTGTGCACTGGATGGATCTTGTGTATATTGATAATCATAAGAAGAGGTTGACAGCTCAAGGACAACAAAATGGACAAGTGTTTGTTTCATTGGTGGATGTCAGCAACACAGGTTTGTCAAATTAATGTTAATAAGAACAGTTATCTCCCTTGATATTTTAAGACCTACTTCAGTAGAGTAATTAATTAGCTAGATGTGTTTTGTATGTCACTGTTATAGAGGTAATAGATGGTTGGCAGGGAATGTATGATTTGTCCTCTCTCTGTTATCCTTTTTCATACTCGGATGTTGCTCTTCTGTTTCAATATTTTTAAAAGCTGTAATTTATTTTTTGCACTCATTAACATATTCTTTCTATGATCTATTTTCCTTTCAGTATTTCCTTATTTGTAAGTTGTATGAAAGAATGTTCATATTTTTATACTTTCATTACCTATAAAGTATTGAAGATATAAACATTGCATACAATAGCACATTTGAACCCCTTTTTTTTGTTTGTTTTGACATACCATCATCAACTGTATATCAACATAACACAAAATTGAATATTTCGTTAAATGTAAGGAAAAATAAATATTATATGCTTATTCCAATATGTTACTTCAAGAATAAGTGTATGATGTGCTTTGTATTGAAGTGTTGAGAGTGTGTGTATAATGTGTTGTGTATGTTACTGTTGTAGAGGTACTGAAGGGTTGGGAGTGTGTGTATAATGTGTTGTGTATGTTACTGTAGTAGAGGTACTGAAGGGTTAGGAGTGTGTGTATAATGTGTTGTGTATGTTACTGTTGTAGAGGTACTGAAGGGTTGGGAGTGTGTGTATAATGTGTTGTGTATGTTACTGTGGTAGAGATACTGCAGGGTTGGGAGTGTGTGTATAGTGTGTTGTGAATGTTACTGTTGTAGAGGACTGAAGGGTTAGGAGTGTGTGTATAATGTGTTGTGTATGTTACTGTTGTAGAGGTACTGAAGGGTTGTTAGTGAGTGTTTAATGTGTTGTGTATGTTACTGTTGTAGAGGTACTGAAGGGTTGTTAGTGAGTGTTTAATGTGTTGTGTATGTTACTGTTGTAGAGGACTGAAAGGTTAGGAGTGTGTGTATAATGTGTTGTGTATGTTACTGTTGTAGAGGTACTGAAGGGTTGGGAGTGTGTGTATAATGTGTTGTGTATGTTACTGTGGTAGAGATACTGAAGGGTTAGGAGTGTGTGTATAGTGTGTTGTGTATGTTACTGTTGTAGAGGACTGAACGGTTAGGAGTGTGTGTATAATGTGTTGTGTATGTTACTGTTATAGAGGTACTGAAGGGTTGGGAGTGTGTGTATAATGTGTTGTGTATGTTACTGTTGTAGAGGTACTGAAGGGTTGTTAGTGAGTGTTAAATGTGTTGTGTATGTTACTGTTGTAGAGGACTGAAAGGTTAGGAGTGTGTGTATAATGTGTTGTGTATGTTACTGTTGTAGAGGTACTGAAGGGTTGGGAGTGTGTGTATAATGTGTTGTGTATGTTACTGTGGTAGAGATACTGAAGGGTTAGGAGTGTGTGTATAGTGTGTTGTGTATGTTACTGTTGTAGAGGACTGAACGGTTAGGAGTGTGTGTATAATGTGTTGTGTATATTACTGTGGTAGAGATACTGAAGGGTTGGGAGTGTGTGTATAATGTGTTGTGTATGTTACTGTTGTAGAGGTACTGAAGGGTTGGGAGTGTGTGTATAGTGTGTTGTGTATGTTACTGTTGTAGAGGTACTGAAGGGTTGTTAGTGAGTGTTTAATGTGTTGTGTATGTTACTGTTGTAGAGGACTGAAGGGTTAGGAGTGTGTGTATAATGTGTTGTGTATGTTACTGTTGTAGAGGTACTGAAGGGTTGTTAGTGAGTGTTTAATGTGTTGTGTATGTTACTGTTGTAGAGGTACTGAAGGGTTGGGAGTGTGTGTATAGTGTATTGTGTATGTTACTGTTGTAGAGGTACTGAAGTGTTGTTAGTGAGTGTTTAATGTGTTGTGTATGTTACTGTTGTAGAGGACTGAAAGGTTAGGAGTGTGTGTATAATGTGTTGTGTATGTTACTGTTGTAGAGGTACTGAAGGGTTGGGAGTGTGTGTATAATGTGTTGTGTATGTTACTGTTGTAGAGGTACTGAAGGGTTGGGAGTGTGTGTATAATGAGTTGTGTATGTTACTGTCGTAGAGGACTGAAAGGTTAGGAGTGTGTGTATAATGTGTTGTGTATGTTACTGTTGTAGAGGACTGAAAGGTTAGGAGTGTGTGTATAATGTGTTGTGTATGTTACTGTTGTAGAGGTACTGAAGGGTTGGGAGTGTGTGTATAATGAGTTGTGTATGTTACTGTCGTAGATGTACTGAAGTGTTGGGAGTGTGTGTATAATGTACTGTGTATGTTACTGTTGTAGAGGTACTGAAGGGTTGGGATAGTGTGTATAATGTGTTGTGTATGTTACTGTGGTAGAGATACTGAAGGGTTGGGAGTATGTGTATAATGTGTTGTGTATGTTACTGTTGTACAGGTACTGAAGGGTTGGGAGTGTGTGTATAGTGTGTTGTGTATGTTACTGTTGTAGAGGTACTGAAGGGTTGTTAGTGAGTGTTTAATGTGTTGTGTATGTTACTGTTGTAGAGGTACTGAAGGGTTAGGAGTGTGTGTATAATGTGTTGTGTATGTTACTGTTGTAGAGGTACTGAAGGGTTGGGAAGGAGTGTTTGACAGTCCAATTACTTGTGTGAAGATCTTTAACCCAGATAATCAGGTCTCCTTTCCTGAATTTTTGAGAGACATAGAAGGTTAGTATATATTACTATCATAAAGTGTAAAATAAAGTTAAGAAACAACATCTACTTCATATAAAGTACAATTATACTTTTATGTCTTCAGTGTTCTATGTCAAGGTGGGGGTATATTTTTACAGTTGTTAAAACAGACCACCTGTAATTTTTGACATCAGGCCCCACTTGTATAAAACATCTCAACTTGAGAATTCCTCAAGTCGAGATTTTCTCAAGGAACAGGAGGAAGGCATCGGCTAGGATGTCCTGAAATTCCTTGAGGAATTTTCATACAAGATATTTTCAAGGAGATATTGGCTGAGGAAAATGTCGACTTGAGGAAATCTCAAGTTGAGATGTTTTATACAAGTGGGGCCAGAACTGTTAACTATTACTAATTTATATGGTCTTGTTCTTGATTTCAGGAAAAGACAACTCCATACAGGAGGATACCCCTGCCATGTACAATTTGTTGGTTATGAGTTCCCTAGAACCAACAGTAGTCTACAGGTACTCTCTACATCTGTCCAGCATGTTTACATGTTCATGGTCACCTGGCCAGAAAGGCTTAGTGAGTTTAATGGACATGTCTGGTACCTGTCTGTCATACTCTATTTTTACAGTGATTCAGTGCAATACTAATTGTAAGTGTCATGATTAAAAAAATATCATATGTTGATACATTGTTATGTATAGATGTATTATAGGGGTTAGAAAGTTCCTAGGGTCAAAGTCAATAATCGGTTTGAAAAGAGTCTATCTATGTGTCTTCTCTATACAATACAAAGTCTTTCACTCGACATGTCCAGTTTGTTAACATACATTCGTAGAGAAATAGGGGCTATTACAATGGAGATCTTTTCCCTTTAGAAAGCATCACAGGAATGTATTTTCTCAGTTCTTGAAAGTGTGAAAAAAACGCAGTTTCATTTGTAGATTAATTTTAACATTTTAGGTCCCTTCTACATTAGTAAAGGGAGCATAAAGTATCAGTCATTTCTAATCATTAGTCTGTGAGTCCATCTCTCCTTCACATAGTATTTTCCTTAATATCATCACAAGACTTTCTACAAACACACATTTCCAATCTTCTGTTAAGCTGTGTTATTGGGTATTTGTATGTTATATAAGTCTATTCTTGTTGTATATACATCAAGTCAAACTTTTGATTTTGTTAATGAAGCTCTGAAGAGAGAGTTCTGTATTTCAGAAACATTCTGACCAATGGTTTAGACAATGCTTTGTACTTGCCTGGGAGCTGTTGTTATGACATCCCCTTGTGTGCCTGTGTAGCTGATATAGACTTCGATGGATACAATGAAATTCTGGTTGGCACATATGGACAGGTAAGGCTTTGATGGGTACAATGAAATCCTGATGGGCACATGTCATCAGATGTTATCATGTAGATACATGTGTAGTTTTGATTTTGTAAGATGTTAAAAGTTTTCTTGTGAATGTTTGATGAAAAGCCAAAAAAAATATCAATATGATTTTGTAAGGGAAAGGAACAGTTAGAATTTTCAGGTCACCTGAGATGGAGTCTTTAGTAACCTACTTTGATCGCCATTTATCTGCCTTTGTCCATCGTCCATCATATACAATTTACATTTTTGACTTCTTGCTAAGTTGAAGGGCTACAAAGATTGTTCAAATGAATTAGCTTGACATTATTTCAAGGTCATAGGGGTCAAATGTGTTAAAATATTTAAACATCTTCTTCTCAATAACCAAATGATCCAGGGGTCGTGATATTGGGCCAGTAGCATGCTGGGGTGAAGGGCTATAAATTTTGTTCAAATGAGTGACCTTGACATTCATTCAAGGTCACAGGGGTCAGATACGCCAAAATTCAACAACAGATGAGTGTTATCAGTTCTGTTTAATTGAAAATTGAGCCTTCAAACATAGAAAGAATAAAAACTTTTTAAGCATGCTTATATCAGTTATGTTCTGTGTGCCCCACTGTGAGATTGATAGATAAGTCCTAAACCTGTACAAAGACCTGTAGAGTTCAGGTGACAGTTAAGGCCCATGGACCTCTTGGTTTGTTTATTTCCAGGAGTTATTAGCTTACAAGTTGATGCAAGAGGATGACCAGATACCAATATTAAATAAATCACCATCTTTAACAAAAAACAAAATGTCGTCTCCTGCAAACATCAACAGTTATACTGACGGAGAACCGGTCACATCACCAAGGCAACGACACCTAACAGGCAGTGGTCATTCAGGTAGAGATTCCCCCTTGGCCATAAAGTTGCCACGAAAGGCAAAATCTCAAGAGAATCTGTGTTCCTCATTACCCAAAAATCATGATACTGGAACAAAGCAGGAGCTGTCTGAAGTAGACCTTAATGTAACTGACAGAAAGCTTTGTTACAAGTTACTTTGGCAAAGAAGCTTTGCTAGTCCAGTGGTTGGAGTGGACAGAGTAGACATTATGGGGGATGGAATGGACGACATGGTTGTGGTTACTCTGAGAGGTGTTCATGTCATACAGGTAAATACTTAAAGTACAGTCTTTCATAACTGTACATATATCAAAGACTTATACCATACATACCTGCATCTATGTTTCATCTGCCCACACCTATGACTTACACTATGACACATCCTTACACCTAGACCTTACATACCTGCACCTATATCTTACATACCTACACCTATACCTTACATACCTACACCTATACCTTACATACCTACACCTATACTTTGCATACCTACACATATAACTTACACACCTACACCTGTACCATACACACCTACACCTATACATTACATACCTACACCTGTACCTTACATACCTACACCTGTACCTTACATACCTACACCTTTACCAGATATACCTATACATTACATACCTACACCTATACCTTACATACCTACACCTATACCTTACATACCTACACTTGTACCTTACCTACACCTATACCTTACATACCTACATCTTACACACCAACACCTTTACCAGGTATACTTACGCCTAAACCTTGTATTTCTACACTTATACCTTACATCCTACACTAAACCTTATCATATACCTGTCATAAGTCTCAACTACATGTTACCCATACCTTCTTTTTCACACAAATACCATACTTAACCACAGCTGACTGTAAATCTTTTCATAAATCATCTCGCCTCCCCTTTGCACACTTTACCTGAAATTGGATCTGAAATGTCTTTTTTTGTTACTGCAGCCAGAGCTAAGAGAAGTTGCCCAGGTATGCCTTGAGCAGCTGAGGAATCTAGTTTCTTCGAAGGAGAGTAGTGAAGATGATGATGAACAAATTCAATTGAACATTGACAATCAGCTGACAAAGCCAAATCGTTCTTTTGAAACCAATACGTGACAATATCGGAGCCATGTAGAAATTGTGTATCAATAAACTCTGTAAAAAGACCTATGGTATCATGTTTTGTACTTTCTAAAGACTTAATATATTGCTTTTCATGCTTAATGGTGTCATTCCTGTTATAAATACGTTAAAAGGTGTCATTCCTGGTATAAACATGATAAAGCGTGTCATTCCTGTTATAAATATAAAACATTTCATCCCTGTTATATATATGATAAAATTTGTCATTTCTGTAATAGATATGATATAACGTGTCGTTGCTATAATAGATATGATAAAATATCTCGTTACTATAATAGATGTGATAAAACGTGTTGTTGCTATAATAGATATGATAAAACGTGTTGTTGCTATAATAGATATGATAAAACGTGTTGTTGCTATAATATTTATATGATATAATAAAACATGATAAAACGTGTTGTTGCTATAATATATATGATAAAACATGTCGTTTCTATAATAGATATGATAAAACGTGTTGTTGCTATAATAGATATGATAAAACATGTCGTTTCTATAAATAGATATGATAAAACATTCGTTTCTATAATAGATATGATAAAACGTATTTTTGCTATAATATATATGTTTCTATAGAGATATGATAAAACGTGTTGTTGCTATAATAGTTATGATAAAAAATGTCATTTCAATAAAAGATATGATAAAACGTGTCGTTGCTATAAAAGATATGATAAAACATGTCGTTTCTATAGATAGATATGATAAAACGTGTTGTTGCTATAATATATATGATAAAACATGTCGTTTCTATAAATAGATATAACAAAACGTGTTGTTGCTATAATAGATATGATAAAACGTGTTGTTGCAATAATAGATATGATAAAAAAAGTCGTTTCTATAGTTAGAAATGAAAAAACGGGGTGTGGATGTAATATATATGATAAAACATGTCGTTTCTATAAATAGATATAACAAAACGTGTTGTTGCTATAATATATATGATAAAACGTGTTGTTGCTATAAATAGATATAACAAAACGTGTTGTTGCTATAATAGATATAACAAAATATCTCGTTACTATAATAGATGTGATAAATCGTGTTGTTGCTATAATAGATATGATAAAACGTGTTGTTGCTATAATAGATATGATAAAACGTGTTGTTGCTATAATAGATATGATAAAACATGTCGTTTCTATAAATAGATATGATAAAACATGTCGTTGCTATAATAGATATGATAAAACGTATTTTTGCTATAATAGATATAATAAAACGTGTTGTTGCTATAATAGTTATGATAAAACATGTTTCTATAGAGATATGATAAAACGTGTTGTTGCTATAATATATATGATAAAACGTGTTGTTGCTATAATAGATATGATAAAACGTGTTGTTGCTATAATATATATAACAAAACGTGTTGTTGCTATATGATTAAACGTGTTGTTGCTATAATATATATGATAAAACGTGTTGTTGCTATAAATAGATATAACAAAACGTGTTGTTGCTATACTAGATATGACAAAACATGTCGTTTCTATAAATAGATAAAAATAAAACGTGTCGTTGCTATCATAGATATGATAAAACGTCATTTCTGTTTTAGGTATGACAGAACGTTCTTCTTATCGACAAAGATGTTATTGAACGTGACCAGTCTAGCGTGGGAATAATAACGTCATAAAGAACATATTAATGATCACTTAAGCCATGCAATATACCAATATTTATTAAAATAACGAAAAATGTTCCAACACCTAAATCAAATGCTCGTCATGCAAGTTAAAATAATGGTATATTTATTTCACTCACACATCAACATTGACAAGACTAATGGCGCTAACACTGAAAATGTACAAGTGGAAATATGTTAAAGAAACAATCTGAATGTACGTGCTACGTTTATGTTGAAAGCACAGAACTTTCAATAGAATCTATAATATACATGAAGTACTTGTATTCAAATTTGAGAATTTTGATTGTATGTTTACAATTTTTTGTTATAATTAAACCAATTAAATCTATATCTACTACATCGGTTATATTACCTGCATTTTTCTAGCTAAATATTTAAAATGCAGGATGCGGAAGTAGTACTTGCACAGTTGTAACCAGGATAGTGTACAGACATATCTAATATTTAGATTACCAAATTTGTGAAGTGTCCAGGTTGTAGGTTGAGACATTTTAAAACCAAAGCAAAGTTAAAGTCTTACAATATGTCATGTAAAAAGATGAACATGTTCTTGTGTGGCATTGTTCATTCTGTCACCACCTTAGAGTGCCAACGGCTTAAAATATGTTTACAATATGTAATATAGTTTCACCTTTCTATGCTGCTTATATATACTTTCACACTCAACACTCATAACAACATACAACCCACATTCACAACATCTTGTCTAGATTAATTGCGCAGTACTAATATTTGTCCTGATATTACGGACATGCTCCACAAAATAGCCATCGCGAAATATTAATTAATTAAGGCAGTTTTATTTGGCACATATCAATTTCACAATGCATTTATCAACAATCTTAAGAGATATTAAAGAAGCACTTCAATAACATGTAAATACCTATATACGTAAAAATGTTTACCAAATATATCTATGAAACTAAAACGCGCATAGGAATTAAGCTTAGTCATAAACATTATCATACATAATGAATTTTTCGGTCGGAAATGGTAACTATAAATGAAGTTGATTATGTAACCATTTCATGGAATAAAACTTCATTCATCAACAAACTGGTATTTTTACAAGTCGTTAATTAAACAAAGAAACCAGCAACGAGAGACGGGGAAAATCATCACGTATGCCAATGCATGCGAATGGTACATAGTACATTGTATTCAGTATCCCAAAAATGGTTGTGACACTTTGTGAGATTTTTATAATATTAATGTCTGGTAGACATCCTATAAGGATATTTTTGCAAACAGGATTGCATGTTTAATGTTGATTTTTACACATACTGTTGATTAACGTTCATATTGCATGACGTAAAAGCTCTGATTTTTAGCTGGGTCAGGATTTTACAGAAGGCTCCTTGGTTAACTGGGTGGTCCGTGCGTAGGTTTCCATGTCCGACTTGGCTTTCTGCTGGATTGTTAGAGCAGCTGATCGGTCAGTTCTATCAAATAGTACCATAAATATAACGATTAGAAATGAGTCGGAATACAAGAGGCATTTGAGATGTAAAAAAAGTGTAAATTGCGCACTTTTGTAGTTTGCATTGGTGAAATCTCAAACTTTAGAATGTAGGACCCAAGATATCAATTTAGCACTCTCTGAATAATGATAGGATGCTTGCCTTATTTGGTATTCTGATCAGGGAGATTTTCTTACATTAGATATTTTTTTTTGAAACGAAGAAGTACTACACGAGTTAAAAAACCCATTTACCACCTTCGTTAAGCAAAGTTTCCTCCCTATTTACGAAATCTCGTTCAATCTACCTCTAAAACACTTTACAACGCCATAACTATGATATTGGTTGACATATTCATTATATTTAAAGCATATAAGAAACATTGTACTCCAAATGAGATATTGTTCTCTTTTTTATGCAGAAACTACACAAACGTAAAAATCATTATGCAACGTACTCGATTCCGTTACGAGATAATTACGTATCATTTCAGCACAAATTAACCATTTATACTGTATGTAACAATATTCACACTAAATGTGATAAAAAATGAACCGACCATCCTTAACAATTTATGTACACTGTATTTTAGAATTATATATACCGAAAATGTCTTCATCAGTCGAAAACAACACATAACGTGGTAGGTTAATTAGCATTCCTTCTAGGTATAAATATGTAACCGCTCCTAAGATGCTTTACTAGAGTGCTACAACCCATTTACTACTGTAAAGGTTTGACAGTGCCGTGACCAATTGGTTACAGTGATATTTACTACTTTAACACCATACTTACATATCGCCCACTTCTGAAAAAAATTCCTTTACCACAGAGCTGTTTGTTAGACTTTTGCACCCTTACATTCTTGCGTCCTAGAAGGACGAAACATTTGTATGTTGCAGTTTAATTCCTTGTTTGATTGTGCTGTATCTAACTCTTAATTTGTATCAAAATGTGCTGTTCACCTCTGTGTCTATTCAATCTTACTTATATTCTTTTTGTATGAAGTTCGTACTGATAGGCTGTTAACTATAAGGCTCCATCCTTAAACTTACATATGGACAATCCATAACCCACTACATAGAAACCGTTACCAAAGTGCTTCTTATTTTACATTGTACTTACATATTAACCTGAAATGGCGTCGAATGAAATGGAGAAAGAACAATATATATGAGATAAAAATAAATGTATAATAACAAGAAAGTCATAGAAAATACACTTGATATGGACTCATTGACTATCGATGTATCCCACTTAACACATGTCGATCAACATACTTATCAGTTTACAGTAAATCTTAGCAAAATTAAAAGTATCTTATCTATACATTATTGTATAATAAGGAAGAACTAGATGTACTGTTTAGTAACATACTTGGATGTTGGCCTTGACTGTTGCCTTGACGACGGACGTGACTGTGTCCTTGATGAAGGTCGTGACTTCTGCCGTGACGATGGCCTGGAATTCTGTCTAGTTGAAGGAGAAGATGATGAGATAGTAGGGGTCACTCCCATTACTTTCTCAAACCTCTTCAAATACTTCTTCTGGCCCTCGAGAAGTTCACTAGAGTGGAATAAATACAATTATGAGCTGGTTGGGGATTCCTGACTGTTCTGGGGCGATGCTAATGACGGGTTCACGTGATACAGAAGATCAACTTGATATGTAGTCACGTAGGTTCTCATGAAATTGAGATAATAACACTGGCGTAATCGGATCATTGTAAATAGTAAACTATATTTTATCAAAAAAGTCATTTTTTATCGTAAATATAATTGTACTTGAATATCAAAATCAAAAGCTTTATGGTCATCAATGTATTTCAGAATATATGGAAAGTGAAAGTCAGAAACTGGCTGAAAAGTGAGCAGATAAATAAAGGATATTGTGCGTACATTACCATTGTCACAGATTCAGTAACCTGATGTACATGTAAATTCTACAGATAAGACACTACATAGACTGAGTGTAATGTCTAGATTGTCAAGCTGGTGCTTCCACTTATGACAGGAAAAGTCGAAATTCATTTTCATAACATTACAAGGTGTGGAAATTGTGTTGTCATCTGGGTCTAAACACCATTACCCGAAGTCAATGGCGCCATCATGGTCTTCGTCCAGCCGTTCCATCAATATCTGTACGTCCTTGTCGGATATCGGGATTTTATTTGCCTATAAACGACAGAATTGTTCTACATGACATTTATTTAAGCTATTTCAAGCATCTCATAAATGTGTGTACATGATGTACTAAAGACGTTTTCATAAAGATGGCTGGATGTTATACAGTTCAACTCGGAAACCTCGAATACCCGCTTAACTCAAAGTACTTTGTCGATCCCGGCAAAACTCTTTATCTTAGTTTAATTTTCCTTTATAAGTCAAGTTTCAATGGCATGCCTCGGTACTGAAAGCACGTACTCTTCATGTATATTGATAAAACTTTACACCAAAGTTTTGAACTCTGTTAATTTGAATATTCTAATAATTTTAAGTTTTTTCATGGTCCTCTTAAGTTCGAGTTAAGGAAGCTGAACTGTACTTTAGATGAGAATAGCAGGATTATCTATAGCTAAAGATAGTAGAGTGATTATCAACGGCCGTCTTTCTAACACTGCAGAGTTTGTTATTGGAAAAGAGCAAACTAAAATTCGAATAGGTATGTCCTTAGAAAGTTTGGAGAAATCGCCAGATATTCAATGTTCTAGCCCCGATCGTCATGCATGCACATGAAACTTCCTATCTCGTTACTTAGCACTTACCTACTATTCGACACATTCACTATAAAATCTTGTTTCGTATTTTCGAAGATTAATGTCCCTGATTGGTTGAAACAAATCGTTACTGTAAATCAATCCTGCTAAACCTAAACCCCTGTTTCACATTTAGATTTCTTGTCATGATATTTACTTTCATGCCGTCCCGGAACTCGTCGAAACTGATGGAGAAGTTCTTGTCTGTGTCAAGCCTGTTGAAGAGGTCCATCCAGCGCAGCCTGTTGTCGTTAACGTAGTTAATGAGAAACAAGAAAGGGTCGTTCATACAATTCTCCTCTCGCTTCTTTATAGATGCTTTTATCAGGTCATGAGCATTCGTAAAACCTCCATGAACGACTTTAAATTTTGGTTTTAATTCTTGAATGTCGTACACAAGCCTACAGGCTTCACTCGTCAACCAAGAATCCTGAGAAAGAAGACAGAATGTTATACAGCACCATGGTAACTCTCTAATATGGATTAAAAGGCCCTAACAAAATTAGCATTATTTAATCAAAATTGTTGTTAATCGAATGAAAATACGCGTAATTAATCTTTTGGTTCCTATGATAGTATTACGGTAATAGAGCAGACAGTTATAATGAGTCATATACACTATGTGCTGACGGAATTTCACAATGTTCACACCCTGACAGATGGAACCAATGTTCACCAGTTATTGAGAGAAGTATATACATACGTACTGCTGTAAACTATGTTATACACACCCGTATCTCTAACAATTGCATTCCCATCTCGGGGTGGGCGTTGATAACTTGGAGAGCACTCTCTGGTCCTAAGGTGGTGATTGGGTTCTTACTGATCTGTAACATATGTGTAATATCATACAAATTGAACCGGGAAAGTAAGACAGAAAACTCCACAGTCTTAGTATCAATCGTTTGAACGAGCTTCATTAGGATTTGTGACAAAAACTACACATTTTCCATAATCAAGTCCACATTCTCATGATAGATTGGTTTGACATAGCAAATACATTCTATTGTAATGATACCCTAATAAAAGACTTGCCTTCAGTTCGAGCAGAACTTTGTTGCTTGCCAGTTGTTTGAGGAGGTTGGACAGACCGATCGGCCCTATGCGGTTAGCGTCCATTTGTAAGACTTCTAGAGTCTCATTCATGTTGGCAGCTTGTACAACACACAGCGCGCCTTCATCGCCAATGCCATTCCACGACAAGTTAAGGGTTTTGATGCTGGTGTTTTCCTGTACAAAATTTTATGAAATATGATTTATCATAGAAGTTCCGTTGGCAGAGGAGTCTTTTTTATATGGTATTGATTATAATTGTTGGACTCTCTCATGTTTATTTTTATTTTTTGTTTGTTTGTTTTTTTATTTTTGTTTCTTTTTTTAATATCTGGTTGTGTATACATTCGAAATACAAGTATGTTCCTGCAACAAGTTAAAAAAATCTCTTCCTGCTTTGAAGGGATTTGAGCAATAAGACTGCTCTGACCTTGAGTCCGTCCGCTATGGCCTTGATTCCGTCATATGCCAAATGGTTCCAACTGATGTCCAGGATCTCTAATGTGTCGTTAGCAGCTTGAACGAGATACAAATGTTTTTAACAATGTAATAATTGATACACGGTTATATAGCCTACACAGCTTACAAACGCACGTGATTTACGACCTCGCATCGATTTAACGTTTATCGGTTTACTAATATATTCTATACACGAAGAAATAATGATTAATTATAGACCCTTTTTCAGAACAGAACAATACGCAGGTCAATAATCATTCCGCTTCCGGTCTTACATTCAAGATTGTTTTTCTCGTAGGTAAGTTCATCTAAAAATGGATCCGGAATGACGTGTACGGCTACTGGTGTTCTTAAATAGTTATGCATACTTGTATTGCATTTCTATAATAAATGTCATTGTTTTAATTAATGTAACACCTCTAATTCGATTCTGTAACCTACGTTTTATCCTGTAAACATATTCTCTTCTATCAGTACGATATACGAGAATATTATCATCGATTTTATACTTGTGAATGTGTTAAGATAATTTCTCCAGAGTATCGTGTGTTGGAAATACGGAGAATGCAAGATGCAATGTACTTTTGTTTGAATAGAAACTCTATGGCCGTCAATCAAGATAATTATGAGCGAGTTTTCATGTTCTCAGGAAATTGTTGTGTCGATACAATCTAGTGAAATCACAAGTCACCAAAACTGCTTCACAAATTGTGGAGTAGATTACCCTAGTCCCCGGGCAGTCGGACATGTGCATCATTGGTAAACACACACAAGCTTAACAATTAACATGCTCGCCATTTGATAGGAACAATTTGAGCTTTAGTTATAATGGAAACTTTTATGTTGTGAAAGATTTATCACTTTGCAAACTTCCGACACTGAACGAGATCTTTAATGTCTTCTTTTCAATGCAAAGCCAACCAAGAAAAATACATTTTCGGAATGGCTGTCGTAGTTAAGTGCTCAAAAGGCCGTAAATATTTCGGAACGCTTTTGGTTATTACATGCAAGTCTTCAACAATGTTACTAAACTTCCGACTCAATTATCCGACTGGCACAAAACTTGGAATTATTTGACATAACAATGTTTCTGATATTGTGAATATACATTTTGTGCCTCATCCAAACATATTCACTTAAATCACCTCATATACATGATTATGTTTGGGCTCCCTGTGCTGAAAGCAAGGCCCACACATTTATCATTTTCATAATGGTATGAGTATTTGTCGTGATGTCATGATTTTCTTTACTTTTACTTTGACTTTAATTGTTGTCCTACCTGAAATTTACCAATATTTGACTCGTGATGCTTGCTCGCCTTAGATTACTTTTAATCTGTTCTAGAACGTTGCTTTACATAAATAATTAGTACTTATAACCTTTCATCGAGAATTTCTCTCGTAAATTAGCTATAGTTTGACAATGACCCAGATTGCTTCCTGTAAATTACCTATAGCTGGTCCAAGATGCTGTCCTCCCTCCGACTCCAGGTCATTATGACTGAGGTCCAAAACACGGAGTGAAAACCGCTGAAACCACACAACATACATGTATATAAAAGAAAGGACAATTATGCTTCCCTTCGTTATCTTTAAAAGACACTCGTATATATTGAGCAACATTTGGTTAAAACGGCAGCGTGGAATTATTTGTGTATTTGTTTATTGATGTACAGAGACATGAATACACATCTCCCCTCCCCCCACCCCCACTCCTAAAAAACAAGACCCTGTCGTAAACATTTAACGACATAATAAATAATAACTCCACGTGACACTGATTATGTCGTGTATTCACATCGAACACTGCAGGTAAGCGGTATACTTACGTAGAACTGGATGGCCTGCGCGAACAGAAGCGCGTCATTCCTATTAAATTGGTTACCTGTGGGATAAATGATTGTTAGATATTCGCCCGCGATAAATTAAAAAAAAAACCCATCTCTCTCATTATCATCTGATATAATGTTTGCTCTCTTTGAAGTAGCTATCTTTTAAACATGCTGGATTGAGAGTGTATAAAGGAGCTGTATCGATTACTGATAACGGGCCGGTAAAAATCAAATGTATAAATAAAGATATGTATTGGTATTGGGTATCATGTCACCAAGTAAATCCTTTAATCTATAAACTAACAAATCATGTTGTATAGTACCATATACCGACTGCATTACCCGTCATACAGACAGAACTCCAAAATCCCTGAGCGACGGGAAACCTCCAGCAAGAGATTTACCTAAATAGGCTGATGTACAGGGGGTCTGAAAAGCACATCACAACATACCCGACATTTAAACGATTTTACAAATTCGGCCACCACACCTATTGATGATACTTTTTGTCCAAAATATATAAACCACCTTACCTAAGACACTGAGAGAAAAGGGGGCGTTCCAATGGCACACTCTTATCCTGAGTTTTAAGGAACGGAATGTTTAACTATAACTTACCTGAGGCCTTGAGGGATAGAATATTGTCGTTTTGTAGCAGCATGTTACTGATGACCTGGGCGCCGTACGATTGTAGGTTATTGTCTGATACATCCTGTACACGAATAGTACAATGCTATACATCAAACAATAATTTGACAAATATCATAGGACGATTATTACGATTTTAACAAGCATTATGGAAGGCAGTCTCGGGTATATGTAGATACTGTAAATAGAGACTGATAGTGACAATGTCACAAGGTCAAGGAGAATGATAGAGACAATGTTTCAAGGTCAAGGAGACTGATAGAGACAATGTCACAAGGTCAAGGAGAATGATAGGGACAATGTTACAAGGTCAAGGAGACTGATAGAGACAATGTTACAAGGTCAAGGAGACTGATAGAGACAATGTCACAAGGGTAAGGAGAATGATAAATGTTACAAGGTCAAGGAGACTGATAGAGACAATGTTACAAGGCAGCAGAGAAAGAGCCATATTAATGGGTATACGGTGAAAGGAACTGGAGACAAAAAGTAAACAACATTATGAAGTATTGATGGCTATGATATCAGACTTGGTAGGGACATAATCGTGACGAGACGGGATGTTTCATATAGATGAAGAGATACAGGAATGATACAGTGTTACTTACAAGGTGGCTGATGTTGTCATTTATCAACAACATGTCCGTGAGGTAACGAATCCCTGTTTGTCCTATAGAGTTACCGGATATCACTACATCACTCACACTTCGGTCAATCTGAATCAGTACAGAAGCTTGTGTTGTACAGAACATTACACCGTAACGTTGAGATATAAGGGTTTATTTGACTACTGTAATATTAAATGTTGACTTCTTCACTGACCAAATTGAAAAGTGTATCAATACTAACACACTTAGTATTTCTTTAACACCATTCCTGAATGAAAATAACGACAAACCATTTAATCTTTTCTGTTTATTATTTTCTTGGTAGAAAATTATTTCCATGTTGATATATTTCAACTTTAATTTCGGTAAATTTTGATTTTCCAAACTCTGCTTGTAGAATGTAGGCCCCTGACTGAAGAGTTCTAGAATAACAATAGTTGTATGATACAGTATACCTCGCCATTCGGCACGTACTTTATCTATAACTGCTGTTCACCCGTGTGTCTCCTTTACAATATTCTAAGCCCAAATTTCGAACATTTGCTTACCACAAGACTAAGGGCGACTGCCTGAGTTCCGAGCGGTCCTAGCCCTTGGTTTTGGAGGTCTATTTGTCCTTTTTTGAGTCCACGAAGGAATATTGACGATGGGGTGATGCTGAACTTTATACATGCCCGGATGTACACCAGGCGGGCTTTCTCCTCTTCAGTTAAAACTTTCCGTTTGGGGTAGTTTCCTGTACAATGAAATTAGAAGTGTGTCTGATTAACTGAGGTATATTACACGATATATGTATAAGTTTGACTAACTAATGAAATCGGACTCAAAACACAAGATTGTACTCTAAAATATCTTATAGTTTTATTTTTTGCCTGAACTATATGCCGCATATACTGTTTGCTTTCACCGCCCTCAAGGCAATAAGGGAGGCACACAAAGTTTTATACATCCCTGTGTGGCCAGTAATGTTGCTCTCAGTATGAAGGATGAGAGTTTTTGTACGATAACTTTTGCAGGTCTCTGTAATAAAGAATACTTCGCGAAGTTTCTAGTGCTATACTAAAGAATAGAGTATCCTCTTGTAGTTACACGCCTCGCTTACAAACCATATTTTGGTCTGATGAATGACGTACGACGAACCAATTTTGTTGCCTGGTCAGTAAAATGTCTTCAATAGATTAATAGTACTAATACAAACACATGTGAATAATACACCTACCTGTTTTTTTTATCTCAGCTGTAAAACAAGGCTTATCGTCCTACTTATCACAAAAATTATCATCCAGGTACGAAACAAGGCTTATCGTCCTACTTATCACAAAAATTATCATCCAGGTACGAAACAAGGCTTATCGTCCTACTTATCACAAAAATTATCATCAAGGTATGAAACAAGGCTTATCGTTCTACTTATCACAAAAATTATCAGTCATATTTAAAACAAGGCTTATCGTCCTTCCTAACCACAAAAATTATCATCCAGATATAACAAAAGGCTTATCGTCATTCTTATCACAACAAAATCACTATGGTTACGTTCGTCATACTACAACTACGACATTTGTATTTATGGTTATATGTATCCATGGCAACGTCCGTCGAATTACTTGTATAAAAACTACATGTGTATCCATTACAACGTCTTTCACACTACAACCTCTACAACTAAAACAGCTGCATACGTATCCATAGAAACAAGTGCTACAGTTATTCTCTACACGTATCCAGCCGTGTTATATTACATTATAAAACACTAGTAACACCACTTCCGTGCAGACTACAGTCCTACTGGTGACTGTTACTCTTTATGGAAGAGACTTACCCTTTTTGCCTTTTTTATCTTTTGTTTTTTTAGGCGCTGAAATGTTCAATCATGGAAATGTTTACAAGTGATCTACTGAGCACGACCGTCACCACGACCACCACCGGAGGAAATGCTCGATAAAAAACATATTTTGAATGTGGACTTCAAAAAACAATTTGAACATTAAATACTATGTACATACTTATACAACATGGAATCCCATATAACATAGTATGTTCTTTATTTCAGGTAGAATATATTTCGTATCCCGCATGTAATGCATTACCACTGAAGACTGTTAAGTTAGACTGGTAAGTCTTACCAAAATAAAATAGATAAATTCAATGATTATACGATATCAATGATGTACATGCACAACGTAAGTATTATTTTGAGAAAGTTTTAAAAAAGAGTTATTTAAGCTTCCGCACATGTAACTGATAAATCAAATGATTAATGAGAATAAATATAGTTGATACCGCACGGAGTCACCATTCTAGGGAGAACATAAAAGTTGTTTACTTAGCATGTGCATGAAGCAATAAAGTAAGTGGATAATTGATTGTGTGCTTTCTGATATAAACTATAAACATTGTCTCCATGCAGATCTCCAATCCTTATTAAAGGAAGTATAACCGTAAATCTTTGTGTAACATATCATAGGATAATCAAAATAAACCTCGACCTCGCTAAATATCTACTAATTATAGCCATTACAATTACCGGAAGTGACGTCGACATGTGGCACAGCAAGAAGTGACGTAATGTTTATAATAGCGTAATGGTAGGTTAAATTTCAATAATGTAAGATGAAACGGATTCGAACTTTTGGTAACAGCAATACATTGATAACACATATAAATAGTAAATAGCTGGATAATAGCACCGTAAACACTGATCAGAAGGCAAAGCACTTGTTAAATGCGAAACTATTTAAGTAAAAGCGTTTAAACTTGAAAACTCAACGATAATATACGCTTTAACTCATGAAAACTTCATAACATCCAGCAATTAATTATCATTTTATTGTCAAGTTATGAAGTCAGCATATCTAACGATCGCCGTTCGTTATCAACTCCAGATCTATGCTCTAAACTGTTGTGTTTCTGTTCTGTGATATTTCGTGTCCACTAGTCTCCGTGCTGACTTTATAGCACATGGATGTAGCCCTGTGTGCTGTGATCTGCTGTGCCACCATGCTGGTTAGGTTAGGTGCTAAACTTACCATTTTTCTTTGGTTTTACTTTTTCTATTAGATTTTCTGCAACAGGAAAACACCGAACATCTATTTGTATTCTATAGTTCAATAGCTACACATTACTGACATTTGTTGACCTCCCGTGAACAGATGTCAGTCGCGAGTGAATAATTATGGAAAACAACAAAATGTCTACGACACGTGAATTCGAATTATTGATAACCCCAAGAATGGCGTGTTCCTGCGTATAATGCGAACCCCCTTTTTGACACGACAGTTTTAGCTTGAAAAACTGCGCACTATACGCGGAAATTTACGGTACTATTTGACAAACAACTAAAGATCTTGGCGCCTTAAAACAAGAACTCGAATATATATATAATTTGATAGAAATTCTTTACGAAAACATAATTGTCTATAACGGTGGCATTGTGTGACCTTGATCTTGGAATCATGAAACGGAAGGGGAAGGACATACATTCCGGGAGAGGGCATAAGGTGGCGGGAAGGGGAAGGACATACATCCCGGGAGAGGGCATAAGGTGGCGGGAAGGGGTAGGGCATACATCCCGGGAGAGGCTATGAGAAGGCGGGAAAAGGTGGGAGGGGCATAAGGTGGCGGGAAGGGGCGGGAAAGGATATAAGGTGGCGGGAAGCTGAAAGACAAACATCCCGGGAGAGGGTTTAATTTCGTTAAAGGTTTGTTTTGATCGCAAACGTATATATTATTAAAACTCGGTGACGAATCGCCGTTCTCGTCACAAGTTTAACAGCTTTTTCAGGACAAAGCCAACAAGTTGCCAGTCTGGTATGAGATGTTTTGTAGATTACCTGATGGTAAATGGAACTCATGAGCGATTTGATCAGAATTGTACATATAAAAAAGATGCTTAAATGATACTTTTGCATCTGCTTCATAAGTTCGTATCGTTGTTAACTAAAACGCAATCAGAAATCTCATTTCCATATTGGTCACTAAAATCATCAGGGTGGCATTGTCTGTGTAGCTGAAACGTTAGGTAAAGTCAACAAAAGTCACGAAGAAAGTAAAAGTCTTTTATTGAAAATAAAACGTGTCGATCAGATGCTTTGTTTTTGCTTTGTTAATTATGTTTACTTTTAATGATCTAAGGTAATGAGGCAATGCTTAGTGTTGTTCCAACTAAATTAACATCTACACAAATGTTGTATATCTGGATTCAGACTGTTTACAATGTTTCAAAATCCAGAAATTATTTCAAACAAACATAAATGTTATCCAAAATATTTTTGTATGACATGTCCCTAGGTTTTCTGTAGACTCGATCAGCATTTCTCACTTTCCCTCGTGATGTTGTACATTAAGTAATATACTGTGTGACTTTGTGTTAAATACACATAACAGGATTTTTACAATTTTATGTTTCTTTTATGATTTTACTGGTATTATTTGTTTTTTTGTTGAATATATTAAACATTAGGTCAGGATAATTCAAACTTTACTCACACTATGGAATTCTCGCTGTTTTGTTGACGTTTCAACAACTGAGTATTCATTGTGAGAGTAATATCTCAATACCAGAATTATAAAATCTATATTAGATCTTATTAAGGGCCATTGTATGAACCGCGTGGGGTACTATCCCGCTTATTCAATCTCTACAAGACATTTAAACACACACACAATACAGTGAATGTTAAAGGCGGGATCCTTCTGTTGGGAAAGCTGTTCGTAAAGGTAATTTTTGGGGTGGTTTACGTCACACAATTCGATACACACTCAGTACTCAACATCCACGTTCCCGAATGTCGCCCCATGACATTGTTAGAACAGTTAAAATACACAGTCACCATTTTATCTATTATGTAGTATCAATTGAATTTTAATAACTCTGAGACGATTTGGCAAAATCATTTCAATAGAGGAACGATTTAAAATCGATTAAGCACTATCTCCATCGCTGACAGATACCTGGTAATGCGAACTAAGTGTGTATTGAGAATCAAGATATGGCGGTAATTATGTAATGTTGACAAGTACTGAGGGATATGTAGACATTCCTTTAGTTAATATGGGTGTCATGGTGCATTCAATGGCAATTTTAGAATAAAATATCGTCCTATCATTATTCATTGACATAATTATAAGGAACTCACTAAACTTAATTTCAGTGTCGTTATTGGTGTACCAACAAATAACAGTATGAAGTAACACCTGCACTCAGTTGATCAGCTTGAAACCTATAGATTTGTTATAAATGTGTTGTAGACCGTGTTTATGTGGGATCTTGTAATCGATATTTAATCAAACATTCGATTAAAAATCCTAATTTAATTGAAGAATATCTATGAAATGTCTACCCCCTACGATGCTATTTTCAGAATTGCTTTAGATATCTGTGTTTTGTACTATTTACTTTGTCAATAGATGTTAAACTTTGTACTAGGATGTACAAGATAAACACACTGACTGTCAATGCTATAGAGAACTGTGCAGCTGTGTAATGACGGTTGTCGATTTTATATAAACGGAAAAATCTGTGGATGATTTCTCCGTCATTTTTCAGTACGATTCCATTGCAAATTGAACAGAAAAGTAAAAACGTTCTTAAGTTTCTTTCAATACCGGTACGTTGAAAAAAGTAGTTTTATGTTAGCGAAAAAAATATTAACAGACGAACAAAACTCGAGTACCTGTTGATTCAATTAAAACGTATCAAAATTCACGTTTATCATAAGTCTTTAAACACTTATTTCCTACTAACATCCACACAAATCGCATTCTCCAAGAGACTGAAATCTGATAACAATTACTTGTTTTTGTTCCTTTCACGATGTTAATGTTTACTGCAGTATGTTATGTAGTAAATGGTGCCATGATTCCCCCTAAATGACACGATCCATTGGTACATTACAGAGTTAGGTTACAATGGTCCTGATAGAACTTTCGATACATATGAAAACATCACGCCTGTTATTTGACTTTATATAAAACACATCATAGTTCTTTTGTTTTTATTATTTTTAAATAAAATCTGTCGGCTGTCGACATACCTTTTTAATTTCTAAACGGGAAATGTACCCTGGTGTTAATATTCTCGTGACCTAACAAAATAAAATGTTGTTGTGTCTCTGTTGAAGCTTACTGAGTAATGAAATGGAAAGGTTATCCAATTTTACGATGTAGAATAAATAGACTGTTTGACAAAAAGTTACAAAATGAGAACAACAGTCCTATATTAGACATTCTCAAACCATTACTAAGTTTTACTCGAAATTTAAGCATTTTTCTTTTCTTTTTTTGAGAGGGGGGAGGTGGGGAGGTGGAGGGGTTGGTTTTGGGGAGGGGGTGACTGATAAAACAGAAACTTAACTCCGCTAAAGGCGGCCATTAAAAAGTTACCAACGTTTTCAGAAATTCTTATCCGACAGCATTTGACGACGAAATACTGTCTGAACCAAAGAATCACAAGGCCGACAGAACGATCATTGGCCCTAATTAGCAGATATACCTGTACACTTATCGCGAATTTTCACCTGTACAATGGAGATACCTAGGAATTCCTCCCCAATACTACCTGCAGTAAGAGTACTATTTTGTAATCAACATATCTATACTAGGTACGGTATATGTGTCGTCTGTGTGAACGTTACCAAATTCTTCAAACAAAATGGTGACAGGTATCAGATTTTAAAATCAATTAAGTAAACAGTGTGTCTACAACATTGTACCCATATTTCTCGGCTACGGTACTGGAGCACACTATTCGTAACACAGTCCCTTTTTATATCAAGGTTTCCTTTTTTAGGTAGGTATGATCGATAATATATTACTATACGGCGGCGGTTGTTGTGTGTGCATTTTGACATTTTTTAAAAATAAAAACTTATTATTACCATTAGAAATGTAACTAAGACATCATCAGATCCCAGTCTTATACCGTGAGTAAACGTCTGTAGAAAGAATGGGGAATGTCAACCAGGTCATTCACACAAAGTACGGACACAGCAAGCAGTAAGGATTCAATCGTATAGAGCAACTCAAAGAAAACTCACACAAACATAATTAATTACTTACTAACATCCTCCAAGTCCGTGTCCCATCCATCCCCATCCTCAATATCTACTGTGACAGATCCCGCTGCTGGCTCAAGTGCTGAAGTTATCAGTTCGAGTTCAGATCCCAGATCAGTGGCAGTGTGTGACCCCACGGGAGACACCGCTCGTGATGTGGTCTTCAGAGGCTCTCGTGGGTTCGGGCCCCGTTCTCGAGGAGTTGTTCTCCTTTGAATTTTACTGGCACTGCTCGCTGGTCGACTTCCGACCAAACGCTCCATGTTATTAATCAGAAGTCGAAAATGTTAATCAACTTGTCCATTGATTAAGTTAGAACACTACATCACACAAGCTGGACAATTACCGTACTTCATCTATTTAATAACCAATGTCCCACATCACACAGGCTGGACAAATTGCCGCACTTGATCTATTTAATAACCAATGTCCCAGTTTAGTTGTTGTAGATCACCGCACTGACAAATAAGAAATATCACATCATCATGTTAACATGGATACTCTCGATTATAAACACTGTTATAACACAGACAATTTAGTAACTGCGATCTCTAATCATAGTTGTTGACTAAACACCTGACATTATAAATGTACAAGAAAACAAATGTATTAAATACGAACAGACAATATACAATATACCTCCCATAGTTCTTACTCGACGACACAAGTGTGGGCCATCAACGGTAGAATTTGTACGATTCAGTACGACTCTTGGCCGTCACTGACAAGCTGTAAGTCAGTGGTAAGTTCAGTAGTGAGACTTCATGTTTGTCCTTGTAATTAGTAACTTGAACAAGTGAAATGTAGGACAAAGGACACTGTCTACTCCTTCATGCGTGTCAAATTGCAAATGGTTGCGCTGCTCTCAAACAACGGAATATCCGAAACCTTTGCCGATATTAATGACACCTCTGTGGAATACGGCATTAGTTAACATATTGTAGCTATGGTATATGAAATCGATGGAATTGTCCCTCCCTACAATAAAAAGTTCTCTGGACACAAGCTTGTTGACCCGGTCTCTTGTCTAACCAAGTCACCTGCTCCACCCTGACATTATAATTACAGTTACCAGTAATTTTCTGTGGTTCAGATTTAGGTACAGTAAGTACTTGAATATTTTAAATCTCCTTGAGCGTTATTTAACATAATATATATATATACATATGGATTCTTCATTGAACACCAGTAATATGAGCAGGTGCTGTCGGTCTGTCGATAGTAACAGTGTTAGTTTTACACATAATCCACATGTAGTTAGTGTCACCCAGGTGTTAATTCCCGGCCCAGTCAGATAGATATATTTGTATCTAAATGTTTAATTACCAGGTTTATAGTAGATGTAAGTGGAGCTAATAAGATATTCTATTTACAGTCCAACAGTTTCAAAAACACATAGAGTTATGGTAGAGCTTTTATATGAAAATTATCACGGTTGAAACAAATACCTAAAAGTTGTTTAACAAAGTATTTCAAATACGGAAAAATAGATATTCTATCTTTCAATATTCAATCAATGCAAAAACGAAGCGTACACCGAATATCTGATAGTAAACAATGAATTTTTTGTAACAAAAAAATGATTTTTTTTCTATTTACGTCACAAATTATCACTCTTCTATCAAAGGACGCATTGATTATGACACTGACCAATCGAAGGTCATGTTTCAATATATGAGTGTCGCAGGAAACAAATCCCTTTCGGTCTCAATTCTGAGTATAATGTTCAACAAAATTGGTATTTGATATGATGAAGTTATATCTTCGTATACTTTAACATACATCACAACTTAATACAATACCAATAAAACTAAATGATTATGAACCAAATAATACATCAATCTGTGACGAAGTACCCTAGAGGACCACGTCACCGTGTCACACTGTGTCTATATAGACCACGTCACCGTGTCACACTGTATCTATATAGACCACGTCACCGTGTCACACTGTATCTATATAGACCACGTCACCGTGTCACACCGTGTCTATATAGACCACGTCACCGTGTCACACCGTGTCTATATAGACCACGTCACCGTGTCACACCGTGTCTATATAGACCACGTCACCGTGTCACACTGTATCTATATAGACCACGTCACCGTGTCACACTGTATCTATATAGACCACGTCACCGTGTCACACTGTATCTATATAGACCACGTCACCGTGTCACACTGTATCTATATAGACCACGTCACCGTGTCAAACTGTATCTATATAGACCACGTCACACTGTATTTATATAGACCACGTCACCGTGTCACACTGTATCTATATAGACCACGTCACCGTGTCACACTGTATCTATATAGACCACGTCACCGTGTCACACTGTATCTATATAGACCAAGTCACCGTGTCACATATCTATATAGACCACGTCACCGTGTCACACTGTATCTATATAGACCACGTCACCGTGTCACACTGTATCTATATAGACCACGTCACCGTGTCACACTGTATCTATATAGACCACGTCACCGTGTCACACTGTATCTATATAGACCACGTCACCGTGTCACACTGTATCTATATAGACCACGTCACCGTGTCACACTGTATCTATATAGACCACGTCACCGTGTCACACTGTATCTATATAGACCACGTCACCGTGTCACACCGTATCTATATAGACCACGTCACCGTGTCACACCGTATCTATATAGACCACGTCACCGTGCGTCTATACACCGTGTCACACTGTATCTATATACCACGTCACCGTGTCACACTGTATCTATATAGACCACGTCACCGTGTCACACTGTATCTATATAGACCACGTCACCGTGTCACACTGTATCTATATAGACCACGTCACCGTGTCACACTGTATCTATATAGACCACGTCACCGTGTCACACTGTATCTATATAGACCACGTCACCGTGTCACACCGTATCTATATAGACCACGTCACCGTGTCACACTGTATCTATATAGACCGTGTCACACTGTATCTATATAGACCACGTTACCGTGTCACACTGTATCTATATAGACCACGTCACCGTGTCACACTGTATCTATATAGACCACGTCACCGTGTCACACTGTATCTATATAGACCACGTCACCGTGTCACACCGTATCTATATAGACCGTGTCACACCGTATCTATATAGACCACGTCACCGTGTCACACCGTATCTATATAGACCACGTCACCGTGTCACACTGTATCTATATAGACCACGTCACCGTGTCACACTGTATCTATATAGACCACGTCACCGTGTCACACTGTATCTATATAGACCACGTCACCGTGTCACACTGTATCTATATAGACCACGTCACCGTGTCACACTGTATCTATATAGACCACGTCACCGTGTCACACTGTATCTATATAGACCACGTCACCGTGTCACACTGTATCTATATAGACCACGTCACCGTGTCACACTGTATCTATATAGACCACGTCACCGTGTCACACCGTATCTATATAGACCACGTCACCGTGTCACACCGTATCTATATAGACCACGTCACCGTGTCACACTGTATCTATATAGACCACGTCACCGTGTCACACTGTATCTATATAGACCACGTTACCGTGTCACACTGTATCTATATATACCACGTCACCGTGTAACACTGTATCTATATAGACCGTGTCACACTGTATCTATATAGACCACGTCACCGTGTCACACTGTATCTATATAGACCGTGTCACACTGTATCTATATAGACCGTGTCACACAGTATCTATATAGACCGTGTCACACTGTATCTATATAGACCACGTCACCGTGTCAAACTGTATCTATATAGACCACGTCACACTGTATTTATATAGACCACGTCACCGTGTCACACTGTATCTATATAGACCGTGTCACACCGTATCTATATAGACCACGTCACCGTGTAACACCTTATCGATTTATAGACAACGTTACCGTGTCACACTGTATCTATATAGACCGTGTCACACTGTATCTATATAGACCACGTTACCGTGTCACACTGTATCTATATAGACCACGTCACCGTGTCACACTGTATCTATATAGACCGTGTCACACTGTATCTATATAGACCGTGTCACACTGTATCTATATAGACCACGTCACCGTGTCACACTGTATCTATATAGACCACGTCACCGTGTCACACTGTATCTATATAGACCGTGTCACACTGTATCTATATCTATATAGACCACGACCGTGTCACACTGTGTCACACTGTCACACTGTATATATAGACCGTGTCACACTGTATCTATATAGACCACGTCACCGTGTCACACTGTATCTATATAGACCACGTCACCGTGTCACACTGTATCTATATAGACCACGTCACCGTGTCACACTGTATCTATATAGACCACGTTACCGTGTCACACTGTATCTATATAGACCGTGTCACACTGTATCTATATAGACCACGTCACCGTGTCACACTGTATCTATATAGACCGTGTCACACTGTATCTATATAGACCACGTCACCGTGTCACACTGTATCTATATAGACCACGTCACCGTGTCACACTGTATCTATATAGACCACGTCACCGTGTCACACTGTATCTATATAGACCACGTCACCGTGTCACACTGTATCTATATAGACCGTGTCACACTGTATCTATATATAGACCGTGTCACACTGTATCTATATAGACCACGTCACCGTGTCACACTGTATCTATATAGACCACGTTACCGTGTCACACTGTATCTATATAGACCACGTTACCGTGTCACACTGTATCTATATAGACCACGTTACCGTGTCACACTGTATCTATATAGACCACGTCACACTGTATTTATATAGACCACGTCACCGTGTCACACTGTATCTATATAGATCACGTTACTGCGTCACACTGTATCTATATAGACCGCGTCACACTGTGTCTATATATACCACGTCACCGTGTCACACTGCGTCTATATAGACCACGTCACCGTGTCACACTGTTTCTATAAAGACCACGTCACCGTGTCACACTGTATCTATATAGACCACGTCACCGTGTCACACTGTATCTATATAGACCATGTCACCGTGTCACACTGTATCTATATAGACCACGTCACCGTGTCACACTGTATCTATATAGACCACGTCACCGTGTCACACTGTATCTATATAGACCACGTCACCGTGTCACACTGTATCTAAATAGACCACGTCACCGTGTCACACCGTATCTATATAGACCGCGTCACACTGTATCTATATAGACCACGTCATCGTGTAACACTGTATCTAAATAGAC